GGCGGCAGGAACTCGCCCAGCCGGCCCGGGCCCCCCAGGGGCAGCGCGGCGGCCGGCTCCATCCCCGCGGGGGTCTCCGCTCCGCCCAGGGCCTGGTGCGGACGCGGCGCAAGCGACGGCGAGTGCCACCGGGGCCGGCAACTGTAACACCTTGGGTTCTCCGGGCTCCCGGCGTCCCCGAACCGGACGGGGAACCCTGGGGGTCCTCAATGACCGGCGCTCCCCCCCTCCCCCGCAGAGGGAATTCACTTCCTCCTTTCCTGTGCGGAGTGGCGGTGGGGGTGGGGAGAGATGTCTGGGGCTCAAGGCGTGCCGACACTTCGGATGCACTTCGGAGGAAGTGGGTGCGCAGGTCTTGACCACAAAAGGGTCCCCCTTGTGTGCATACAGACTTCACGTGGAAAAAAGTCCTTCCATCCGGACTGCAGCAAACCCATGGAAGGGGTTCGATCCCCATGACCCCCGAGCATCCCCAGGAGTAATTCCTGAGTGCAGAGCCAGAAGTAACCCCTGAGCATTGCCAGGTGTGACCCAAAAAGAAAAAAAAACAGAAAAGAAAAAGAAAAGGATTAATTCTGGCCTGGGATAAATAAGAAGTACAAATCTCCCTCATCAGAAAGGCACTTCCAGGGAAAACTGCACATGGGTGCACCTGATGACAGGTAGATGGAGATATGTGTAAATCACAGAAGAAGATTGGCCCAGGGGAACAAAATGAGGGGGACTCTGATGCTTACCAGAGTCACCGTCTTTGCCCATTGGTAACACCAACCCTCAGCATCCACATTTCCCTTTTTCATTCTCCATCTTCTGCCCCTTTGAGAGGTGTGCAACATGAGGCTGAGTGAGGGCTGATCTCCTGGGGAGGCAGGTAAATGACTGTGACATTACAGTGGGGACAGAGCCGCTCATTTGCCAGAGAGAGAGAGAGAGAGAGAGAGAAATGGAGAGAGAGGGAGAGAGAGAGAGAGGGAGAGAGAGAAAGTCTGGAACAGTCACAGGGCAAGTGCCCTACCTGCTGTACTTTATCTTTCCAGTCCTAACCCTTTCTATTTGATAACCTCTTAATAACCCCTCTTTTTTCCCTTGATGAAGCAAATAAATAAATAAAATTGAAAGAGAATACGAGCTTCTCCAGAGTAAAAGAGAGGGAGCAAAGAAACAGAGATGAGAAAGCGAGATACATGTTTAAGGGAGAAAACGGGTTTCAAGAGCCAAGTCTCTTTTTCTTTTTTTCTTTTTGGGTGACACCCTGCAATGCTCAGGGACTATTCCTGGCTCTGCACTCAGGAATTACTCCTGGTGGTGTTCAGGGGACCAGGGTGTTCATATGGGATGCCAGGTATCCTTGAGCAGAACCAAGAATTAGCCCTGAGCACAGCTGGGTGTGGCCCCCTCAAAAAAAAAAAGCCCCACGAAACACTCCAATCTTCTTGTCTCCTCCTGTTGATGTTGTGATGATGGGGTTCTTACACATGCTGGGTGCGGGCTGTGGACATTTAGTAATTGGGCTCGCTGGTGGCACCAGTCACATCAGGTTGAGATGCTCAAGGTCATATGTGACCATATGGGATGTTGGAGATCAAACCTGGGTCGGCCGCATGCGAGGCAAAAGCCCTCCCTGCTATACTATTGCTCTGGCCCCAGCCTCCTCTCTAGTGAATTATGTGGATCTTCCCTAGATTCTGCAGAGCCCCAACATTTAGTAACAGCAATAGCTAAAACCAATTTCTCTTTGCAGGTGGCTCTGTCACCCAAGCAGCGCCTAGCAAGCAAGAAACAGCTAATGACAGCACAAGGCCAGTCCACTGTGGGAGGGACCAGGAGAGAGCCTGTCTCTTGAGAGAGCTGACAGGGTCGTGAAGCAGATCACAGGCTCCTGGGGGTTCAGCAACACTTGCTTCCTCGAGGGGGCGCTGTGTCCCGTTGTGGTTCAGTGTCAATTTCCTGTTCGGCCCAGAGTTCGTGGACTTCCCCGCTCCTGTGTCTGGTCCCTCTCGCCGGTTGGGATCCATGTCCTCTTACAAAGGTGACTGACCTGGGGCCGGGGAGAGGTTCCTTTCTATGTGAAGTCCATGGGTGAACCCTGACACCCTGGGGTATCCCTGGTCCCTGGAAACTGCTGGGTGTGTCTCCGTAATAGAAATAAAAAAATAGCAAGAGAAACTGCCATTTCTTCGTTCCTGGTTTTTGTGTGTGGACAGCTTTTTATTTGTTTTTTGTTGTTGTTATTGTTTTGCCACACCCAGTGATGCTCAGCGCTTCAGGCTTTGCACTCAGGAATCACTCTTGGTAATCTTGTGGTAATCTGGGGACCATATGGGATTCCAAGGACCGAACCCAGCTCAGCTCTGTGCAAGGAAAGCTTCCTACCCGATGTACTCTCTGACCCCAAGTTTCTAACATTCTTGTGATAGATTTTGAAGAGAAGCTAATATATTTTGAAAAGTAATCTCTTTATCTCAGGGCTGGAGAGATAGTACAGCAGGTAAGGGGGGCACTTGCCTTGCACATAGCCAGCGCAGGTTCCATTTTCATGGCTCTGTATGGTCCCTTCAGCTTGATCCAGGTCTGATCCCTGTTCCCCTCATGGTACCCAGAACCTGCCAGGAGTAATCCATGAGCAGAGCCAAGAATTAGCCCCTGAGCACAGCTGGGTGTGGCCCCCTCAAAGAAAAAAAAAAGCTCCACAAAACCCCCAAATCTTCCTGTCTCTTCCTATTGATATTGTGATGGGTTCTTACTCACGGTGGGTGTGGGATGTGGATATTTAGTCATTAGGATTGCTGGTGGCACCAGGCATATCAGGTTGGGGTGCTCTAGATCAGCCCCAGCCCTGAACAGGAGTGACTTTATGTTTTAGAGTCACACTCAGCAATGCTCCGATATTACTCCTGTCTCTGAGCTCAAGGATCACTCCTGAAGGTGCTCAGGGGACCATATGGGATGCTGGGGATCAAACCTGGACCAATTGTAAGTCAAACACCGTACCTGCTGTACTATCTTGTTGGTTTTATGATTAGTTAAAACTTTTCCCAAACTATCTCTTACGTTCATTTTTTTACTTCGCCTTTGTACTCCTAATGAAGAGACGTGTACAATGCTAGCATTAGTTCTTCCCAGGTTGTGGTTGTGATCTCTTGGTATAGGCGAGTTCCTCCATCTCTTCATGTCCAGTGCTTCCCAGGACCTGGGTTGTAGCAGCCCTGAGTGACAACTGGGCATTTACAATCACAGGTCCCTGGTCCCAGGCAGCACAGGGCTGGCTGGGAGCAGAGTATAGTTGACCCTGAATCCACAAGGAGGCAGCAGACAGTGGCTGTGCTTTGAGGGCTGTAAGGTGCTTCCTGCTGTAGGAGTGTGGCTTGTTCATCACTGGCAGGGACAGAGGGGTTTTTTGTCTGCTAGGAGGAAGCACTCCTGCTAAGTCTTCCAGCACTTTGCCAGGGGAAGTGAGACTCTCACTTGCCCTCGGGCTTTGTCCCTGTGGAGACTCAGATCCAGTCTGGTGCCTAACTGACTGTTAGGAAAGTTGCTCAGGCCACACCTTCATCCCCCTCCTGCCCCCTTCCCTTTGTTGTAGCTATGATGTCTGGGACTTACACACTCGGTTGCAGTGTGCTCTAGGGGTTGGACACTTGAGTGATGGTGTTCACACACACTTGGTTGCTGTGTACTGGGTCACTCAGCTTGTGCATTGATCTGCAGCATCTGAGTCTCCAGTCCCCTTAAATCCATTCATACTGAGTTTCTTGCTTCCAGTTTCAGAGCTGTTAGAGGTTACTGTGTTACTTAGTAGGAGGAACTGGGCTTGCCTTCTTCTACCTCCAGACCCCAAGAACCACCCCTTGGCTCCCGTCCCCTACCCCAGGGTAAAGTTCTACACTCAAGAGATCTGTTCTAAGTTGCATCCTGTTACCCTAGACTGGGGTTTCTTCCTTGGGAAGGGCATCATTCACTGAGTCAGCTGTTGTTCTTATGCCTCAGTGTAGAAGTGTAGATTGGCGTTGTTTCTGTAGACTAATAGACTAATGCAAGTTGTATGTGTGTGTGTGGTGACTGGAGTCATACCCAGTGATGATCAGGGCTATCTACTTCTGGCTCTGCACTCAGGGATCATTCCATGTAATGCTGTGAGGTGAGACCCAGGGAGTTCACAGTATTAGTCTACCCCATCCTGTCCTCCCCTCCCTTTATTCATCTTTTTGCTTTTGGGTGACACCAGCAAGGCACTTAGGGATCACTCCTGGTGGGGCTCAGAGAACATATGGGGTGCCGGGGGACTGAGCCCAGGTCAGCTGTGTGCAAGGGAAGGCAAGCACCCTTCCCACGGTACTACTGCTCTGCACACACCCTCCACATTCTTCTTAATGTAAGTTTTAATGTACATTTGGGGATTGCAGGCAACAAACACAATTTCCTATTTGGCCATCTTGACCATGCCCTTTCATGCCAGTTGATCAGAACCAAGATCTGTGATGGCTCCTTGGGGAGGTTCCACTAATCAGGTCAGTCACTCCTGGGCAGGTCTCTCTTTCCCTGTAGAAACGACACTGGCTCCCAGCAGTGTCAGGTACCTGCGTTGAGGTCTCCAAGGCCCAACAAGAAATCTTGTTGGGTGTTTGAACTTGACCTTCAGGGCACGTCTACTACACACCTCAATATACTTCAGCAAGGAGCAGCTGAGTGATCCACAGGTCTTTACTGCGAGTCTATTTGTGTGAGATGAAGAAAGAAGAGATGCTATTCTCATTTTCAGGGAGTTAACAGACTCAAGATAAATATTGATGTTAAGATTTCAGTTCTCAGGCAGTACAGATAGTACAGTGGTTAGGGTGTTTGTTTGCACATGGCTGACTGGGGTTCAATACCTGGCACCCCATATGGTCCCCAAAGCCTGCCAGGAGAGAATCCTGAGTGCAGAGCCAGGATTAATCCTTGAGCACCGCCAGGTGTGGCCCAAAAAACAAACGTACTCTTCCCAAAGGCATACAGGATTTTTAACTTTTGCCATTTAAATACCTTTATTTCTTTCAGATCAAACTGTAAAAGTACAATAACTTGATATTTTTGGCTATGAAGACAAGATTTGGCAATTCTCAAAAAGAAAATACAAATGGCTAATAAGTATAAAATTTGTTAGAAATAAAATTAATGCAAATTGAAACAATACTATTTTTCTATTACAGTGGTAAAATATTATTTTACTAATAAATACCCAGTGTCAGAAGGGTGTAGATAAATGCTCTTTCACAGTGGGGTGTTTGGAACAGCTGTGTTTCCATATGTGTCCATACAGCACAGCCTTAAAAGTGTGTGTACCCCACAATTGCACTTCTAATGTACTCCAGAAAATAATCAAAAACATGTATACAATTTAAATATAAGGTTGCACATTATATGACACTGTAAGAAACTGGAGATAATCTCATAGTAAACTGTTTAAATAAATTATAGCACAGGAACATTAACAGGATACTAAAAACAACGGTGTACATATATGTGTATCTACTTGGAAATCAGTATTTCATGAAAGAAAACAAGTTACTAGGGTATAATTTGTGCCTTACATGTGTGAGGCCCTGGATTTAAACTCAGGACCACCAAAAGTCAAAAAGAGCAAAATATGAGCTCTTTCGTTAAAAAAAAGACATGTTTACATATATACGCAGGATATATACCACATTATCACTGACAATCTCTGGATGGTATTAAAATGACTCATTAAAAAAATTTTATACCCCTTTTTAAGTAATCTGCAACAAGTATGTACTAATTTTGTGATTAAAAAAAAGCAAGTAATCAAAGTCTAAGAAAAAATGCTTTGCCTAGGTTTTGGCTTGCGATGGACAGGTCAGAGGGTCACGGTGATATACGCCAGGTATCCATTTGGTCTTGTTTCTTCTGACCTGAGTAGATTATTCTCAGTTTTCCTGCAAGTGCCTTCACCACAGAATCAGACAGCTGAGTTCTCTCAGTTTTTACTAGTGCTTATCCAGGCCCTTTCTGCAAAGGAAACCACTACCTAGGGAGAAGCGGGGCTGAAACACGAAAGATTTGCACTTTACCCAGGGAGCCCTTAGAGGAAGTTTTGGGGAGAAGGAAGAAGGCAGCAGAAAATGAAAACAGGACTGGAGGGCTGATGAGAAAAGTCTCTATTTGGTCCTTATGTCAATCCCAGGCTTCCTCTGAATCTCAAGAGGTAGGATCATGGGACTCCTCAGAGAAATGAGAGAACACTTGAAAAGCCAACTGAGGAGTTAAACAAATCCACTAGCAACAGTTAGGTCGACACTGCAATTTCTCTAACAGACATGTGGAGATTAGGATGGAAATTTTATATTCTGGGTCGTAACAGGGACTTCAACGGAACCTAAACCATCAGGATAAGAACCGTACCCTGAGGTGCAGGAAATGGCACTGCCCATGAATTCAGTCTTTCCTAATGCCTGTCCAGGGAAACAAACATCGACATTCATGCAGAACATGGCACAGGCCCACACCCTTCACTAGGGATTTAAGAGATCCAGAGAAAACAGAGCCAAGTTCTCTTTGAAGAGACTGTCATCTGGGGTTGAAAATCTAATCTCAGTGCAGAGACCACAGGATGGAGAGACCCCATCACAGGCCGAAGGCTCGTGGGCCAAATCTGTCCTCATCATGAGAGGTCACCACCAACCTAGAGCAGAGGGTCACAAAAATGGTGCCAGAGGCGTGGTTGCAGTTTCTCACCAGCAGTTTCGATACCAAAGCCTGTAAATGCTTTTCTTTAAAAGAAAAGACTAAATCACTCTAGCTACAGGCAGCCACACAATAGTCCTTGAAACACTTGTCTGCTTGCTTCCAGGAGAGAGGAGAGGTGGAGTCTCACCTCTCAGCACCCAGGCAGCAGCTGCCACGAGCCACTGTGGCTCCACGGCTGAGCTCTGCCCTCCGAGAGCTGGAACCCAAGGTGCCAACAGATGGCCCAGGACCTGGTGACTTGTGCCACACAGTGTCCCAAAACCAGAAGGAGATTAGGAAGTGTGATGAAAGTGAACTAAGCTGGGGACGTGTGCTCAGGGTTTCTGGAAGCAGGACTAGCCTTTCGCGTGTCCAGCTGGACGTGCCAGGACAGAGAAGGGAGGGGCGAGCAGTTAGGTTGGGAGAGATCAGCGCCAGTTCTGGCGGGGAGTCGCTTTATAATTGGGAGTGGCACAAACCCCCCTCCCCTCAGTCACTCATGGGAAACCCGTTCCAAGGCCACATAGAAACTGTTCTTGTCATCCAGGCAATGCCAGCCAATAGGCCCGATTTCACAGTCTGCGCAGACCAGAAACTTGATGTTGCCCACATCCTTGGTGAAGCCCACGTTCTCAAAGATGAACATGTCATCGACCAGCCAGTGTTCCTGGAGGACATCGCCGTCAGGGTCGCTGCCGTCAGCCAGGGCCGGCTTCTTTCTCATGGAGGGAAGGAAAAGCTGCAATGATGAGAACACAGAGAAAAGAAAAGCTGTTGCCAGCTTTGTCTGACTGGCTTCACACTACTTCCTGGCAGTTTCTTGAGATGAAAACACAGTGAAGCACCCCATTATTTAAGTCACAGACTAAGGTGTTAGGTGGCATCCCTGCTACCACCATTGCCCTTTGCCCTCATCTTTTTTTTTTTTTCTTTTGGGTCATACCCAGCATTGCACAGGGGTCACTCCTGGCTCTGCACTCAGGAATTACTCCGGGTGGTGCTCAGGGGACCATATGGGATGCTGGGAACCAAACCCGGGTCAGCTGCGTGCAAGGAAAATGCCCTACCCGCTGTGTTATCGCTCCACCCCCCCATTTCCCTCATCTTAAAAGACCTGGCAGAGAGGGGCTGGAACGACAGTACGGTGAGAGGGGCTATGCGGCCCCTGGGTTCAATTTCTGGCATCTTATACTGTCCCCCAAGCATTGCCAGAAGTGATCCTTGATCAAGGTGTAAGTCCTGAGCCTGGCTGGGTATGGCCCCCAATCTTCACCCCCACCCCCACCAGGTAGGGCAGAAGAACACTGGCTGCTCTAGGAGCTTGACTCCACCAACATCCTGACCAAAGTCCAAGAGGCCAGCGTGGCCGTGCTCTCCCCCAGCTCACTTGCCCAACCACCCCAGCCTTCATGCCTTCCTCAGGTGCGATGAGTCGTCTCTGCCTGCAGAGTCTGGCAGAGCTGATATCCAATGGACTCTGACATTCAGCTTCAACTCAGGTAGTCTTCCCAAACCAAATAATTAGAATTATTACTGTCATTGTTTAAAACAGCTTTGCTGGGCCAGCTCAAGTGCCTGGTATCCGTTAAGGACCCAAGTTTAACCACCAGAACCTATGGGCAAGGTCCCTTGCACAGTGACGGCCCTGACGACTGAACTGACATGCCTCATTGGTGCCTGCTTCTCTGGAGGTGGGCCCAGGCGCGGGGACTTCCGAAAGGTAGCTCCCACTTTTTTTTTCTTTTTAGGTCACACTCGGTGATACACAGGGGTTACTCCTGGCTCATGCACTCAGGAATTACTCCTGATGGTGCTTGGGGGACCTAATGGGATGCTGGGAATTGAAGCTGGGTCCTCCATGTGCAAGGCAAACTCCCCACCGGCTGAGCTATCGCTCCAGCCCCAGGTAGCCCCCACTTTTAATGGGAAAACAATAACAAAACAGGAGCGCTGAAGAGAGAGCACAGCAAACAGGGCACTTGCCCTGCACACTGCACATGGCTGAACTGGGTTTGACTCCCAGCACTGCCAGGAGTGATTCCTGAGAGGGCAGAGCCACAAGTACAGCCTAAGCAGAGTCAGGTGCCCTCCCCCCCGCCCCCCGCAAAGACCACACACACAAAAACAACCCACCCCAACACAAAAGTTTTACTGAGGTATAACTGGCACATAAACCTTAGGTACTTCAAGGGTACAATTTCAGGGCTGGAGAGAGCAGAGCTAGAAAGGTGTCTGCCTTGCATGTGGCTGACCCTGGTATGATCCCCAGCACCCTCTATGGTCCCCTGAGCCCCACTAGGTGTGATCCCTGAGTGCAGAGCCTGGAGTGAGCCCTGCACACTGCCAGGTGTGACTCAAAACCAATAAATAAAAAAGTATGGTTTTATCCACTTAGGATAAAAACCTTAGGATATATTCCAAGGAACCACTACTGTCACCAAAATAACGATTATATTCATACATCTCCAAGGGCTCTTCTAGCTACTCTACCTTTTCCACTTATCACTGATTATTCTCTGAAGTGCCCTTATTAACTAAAGACCTATTTACCAGACAAGCTTGAGAGCATGTAGCTCTGCGGTCTTGGTTACTGTGTTTCCAGTGTCTAGAACTGTAACAGTGTCCACGCAGAGCAGAAATAGGGTCCGGCTCCAACTCTTTCTGTCTTTGTTATGACTGTGCTGATTTATGTTATGTAAAGAATGTTACAAAGGAAAGGAAAATCGAGGGGTCAGTTTGGTCCTAGAGTTCAAGCCTGGCATGCTCCAGGCCTTGGGTTCAGGCCCTGGTACTGGGGGCCACTGGAACACCTCTGGGTGATATACCTCAGAGGTGCCTGGCACTGCTTAAAACCAACCAGGAAAACCAGGCTCAAAAATGCAGACTATTGGGGCTGGAGTGATAGCACAGCGAGTAGGGCGTTTGCCTTCCATGTGGCCTACATGGGTTCGATTCCCAGCATCCCATATGGTCCCCTGAGCACCGCCAGGAGCAACCCTTGTGCATCTCCTGAGTGGAGAGCCAGGAGTAACCCCTGTGCATCTCCAGATGTGATCCAAAAAGAAAAGAAAAAAAAATCATTGTATGACTGTAAAGCAAACAAGAAAGTTTGTAAGTTTGTAACTGTACCTCATGGTGATTCACTTAAAAAAAAAGGGGGGGGACCATCATCCCTAGGGTCTTTGTATGCTCTAATTTACATGCCTCCCCAGATGTTAGGAGAGTCTGACACATATACCACAATTCCCTCTCACTTTTTTTAAAAAATTAATTAAAAAAAAATTTAGTCAGTGAGATTTCAAAGCCATTCATTGTAGGATAACACTGCTTTGTCCTTCCTCAAGTAGCTTAGGTTTATCAGTCACACCGATCCCAGTGCTCCCCAGTCACTCCCATTCTTCTGTTTATCTGTAAACTTTTCTCTGTGCTCTCCTCCCCAGCCAGCTAATCACCTTTTCTCCCTAATCAGATTCTGTTAGCTTATAAGATCAGATCCTTCTAAGGACACTGAACTTGTATTGTAAGCAATGTCCTTTCTGTATGGACACAGGAAGACAGTTAATATTATGCTTTGTAACTTGACTGACTCTGAAAAATATTTACTCCTGGGCATCTGCTTTCTTGACTCAGTTGCCCTTAGTTCCTAGCACCCTCAAAGCAGGGTCCCAATGAGGGACTGAATGGACCCAGGGCATGCTGTGAGTTACCTTGGCATCGAAATGGGCCAGGCCAAAGCACCACGATACTCAACTATAAGTTGAGGGCATGATCATGGACAAATGCTGTCATGATCCAAAAGTAAGTAACGACGAGACTAGGACCCTCCTGGGGCTAGGAAGACTAACCTGGCCTGAGGACTACAGAATGTATAGTGAGATGTTCTCAGGAAGAACCAAACTGTAAGTTTATATCTCTTACTGTGCTCATACAGAAGGACATTGCTAGAAATATTGGAACTAGATTTACTACAACTATTTAAGTAGATTACTAGCTGAGGGAAGAACACATTCTCGTTGGGATCCCACCCTTGAGTGGATCTCCTAGTGATCTGGAGCAAATTCTTTAGATGAGATTTTATCCTTGAGTTAATCTCCTGGAGAGTGGTCTTACCTCTCTTTGTTGATTTGTCCGTGTCCAACCCATCTTTGTGTCACCACCCTACATGATTGCTATATAAACTAAGAATGTAAGCTTGGAGAAGCAGAGTCAGAAGTGAGAGAGCTCGGGCTCCAGAGCTCCAGAGTCAGCCAGAAGGAGAAAGGTTCCAGATTGGGGCCCAGGAGAGGAGGAAGCAGAGGAGACAGGAGTGAAGAGGATTGGAATAAACTACAATTGATATCGACCAGCCTGGCTCTTGTTTCTTCCTTCGTCTGCCCCTGGCCAACAGCCGTCCTGATCCAGGCCACACACAGTGGCTCAAGAGCACTGAACGCAGGCGGTGAGACAGAGAACATTCACAACCTTCGGCGTGCTAAGATTTTACAATTCATGACTAGGTTCAGGCATTCAATGTTCCAACACTGATGTCTCACCAGTGTCAACACCCGCTTGTCTCCCACCCACTGGCCTGCTTCTAGGAGAGGCACTTTTTGATTTTCAAGTGTTTGCCCTGTGGCTTACAGTGGTGTTGCTGACAGGGTTCCATCCATCACACTTTACCGCTTACTGCGCCGCCTCCCTCTCCAACCTGATCGCTTCCCCCACCACAGACAGTGCCCTTGCCCTATCCTATCTCTCAGCACCCTCAAGTGGCAAAAGTCATTCTTCTGTTGCTGTTTTTGTGTATGTGCTGCTGAAGCGAGCACTATTGTTTTTGGACCACACCTGATGATGCTCAGGGGTTACACCTGACTCTGAACTTAGGAATCACTTCTGGTAGTACATGGAGGGCCGTAAGGGATTAAATCCAGGTTGATTGCACGCAAGGCAAGCGTTCTACCTGTGGCACTATCACTATGGCCCTACCAAAATCCCTTTAATGCCTCATCGTGGCATTGTGCCCCAGGCTCCTGCAAAGCACAATGCCAGCAAAGCCAGGCATCCCTGACCTTTTATGTTTGGATATTACTGATAAGCTTATTTCCCAGCCCATGACACACTTCCAGTGCTACAGTGCTACTTCTAATATATTCCAAACCAATATGAAAGGGCCACCTTAGTGCACTGGCAATCCAAATAAAAGGTTTAATTAAAATTAAAATTTATGGGTGTAGAGTGATAATACAGCAGATAGGGAGTTGCCCTGCCCACATGTGACCTGGGTCTGATCCCCAGCATCCCATATGGTCTTGAGTCCACCAGGGTGGACCTTTGTGCAATTCAGGTGTAGTGCCCAAACAAAACTAAGATTTGGGGTTTTTTTCTTTTTTTTGGCTTTTTCGGTCATACCCAGCGATGCTCAGATGTTACTCCTGGTTCTGCACTCAGGAATTACTCCTGGCAGCGCTCAGGAGACCCTATCGGATGCAAGGGATTGAACCCAGGTCTGAACCCTCATCTGAACCAGTGTTGGCTGTGTGCAAGGAAAATGTTCTACCTGCTATACTAATTGCTGTGGCCCTAAGATTTTTTTTGGTGGGGGCTATGCCCAGCAGTGCTCAGGTAGCTGCTCCCAGAGGTGCCTGAGGGCTGACCCTGGGCCTTCCCCGTGCAATGCATATGCTCCAGTCCTGAGTTACCTCACCAACCTCCAGATTTTAACTGGAAAAGAAAAAACTGGACTAACACTTCTTCCAACAAAGCAAATGAGGATCTACTCAGGTGGGGAATGAGTAAGCCTCTCCCCAAAGCTGCAGCGTGGCAGCCTTGAGAATTGCTAGTGTGCATTCAATACTCTGTATCTGCATGTTGGACCCCAAGTTGCCAGGTACCCGGAGAGAGAGGAAGGGCTGGGATCCAGAACCACCACTCCACCCACTGACTCACCATCCTCAGTTGTGCCACCTGAAACACCTACCCTGCACTCAATATCCACAACTGGGGGCAGGGGGCTTTGGACCACACCCATGGTGCTCAGCGGCCCATATGCAGTGCCAGGGATGAAACTGGGTTTAGCTGTGAGTCCAGTGCCTTAACCCCCGAACCTCTCTCTGGCCCGTAAGTCAACCTTCTTCTGTTTTTGGGCCACACCGAGCAATGACTGGGGGCCAGATGCAGTGCTAGGGACTGAACCTGGGTCAGCTGCATGCAAGGCAAGTGCCCCACCCTCTGTATTATCGATCCCACTCTGTTTGGGGGCCACAGCCTGCAGTGCTCAGGGATCACTCCTGGCAGTGGAACCAGATGTGGTGATGCAATTTGAACCAGGGTTAGTCATGTGACAGGCAAGCCCCTTACCCCCTGGACTATCTGTCTGGCTCCCATACTCCATGATTTATCTACTATCTGTTGCTGGGCTCTCAAGCTGATTGCTGATCTTGGCTACACCTTGAGGTATATAAGGGGGGAGCCTGGGAAGGGCTCATGGGCTACGTGGAAGACCTGGCTCCACAGAGGCTCCAGGCACCACTGAGTGACCCCTGAACACCAGAACAGTTGAGTAGCCCCTGAACGCCACTAAGGGACGGTGTCTCTCATACTATTCCATTTATGGTGCAAAACTCTACCTCTGCAGAACTTCCTCTTTGATGAGTGCCTGAACGTAGCTAGGAACTGCTCATTCGAGGGGTCACTCTGGGTGCTGTTGCCTCGATTTGCCTCTATTAAACCTTATTAGTCTGTAAATGCATTTGTCTGCAGACAGATCCCAACCCAGTCACCTCAAAGCTGAGGACAACTGCTAAAGTCAGATCACGTAACGTTTGGAACAGTGAGTCTTTCTAGGTAGATTATTATGGCAGGGATCACTCCTGGTGGGATGCAAAGCAAGTGCACTGCCTGCTATACTATTGCTCCAGCATGAAAAAAGGTTTTCATGGAATAGGTAAACCACAGTTCACTTCGTGGTGTGGCTGGCCTGCTTGTTTTAATCATTCACTTCTTAAAGGATAAATAATTAGGCTATTTTCAGTTTGGGGCTACATGGTACAACTGAAAATTCTGTGCATTGGTTTTTGCATGACACAAATTTTCTTTTTATTTTGGGCCACACTCCAGTATTCAGGGCTTCGCCCTGGCTCTGAGCTTAGGGATCACTCCTGGAAGGCTTGGGGAACCAAGCCTTCACTGGGGACTGAACCCACATTGGTCATGCACAAGGCAAGTACCCTAACCTGCTGTACTATTGTCGGGGCCCAACACAAGTTTTCATTTTCCTTGGATAAAAACCCCAGAGTATAGCTGTTGACCTTGTCCCCCCCACACACACACATCTTTTTTTTTGGGTAGGGCACTCCTGAAGGTGCTCAGGGTTTACTCCTGGCTCTGCATTCATGGACCACTTATTCCTAGAAGGCTAACAGGACCATATGGCAAGCTGTGGATCAAACCTGGGTGGGCTGCATGTAAAGCAAACTCTTTACCCACTGTACTATCACCCCAGCCCCATCTGCTCTCATATCCTTGTTCAAAGTCTGCTCTATACTTTCTCTCCTATGCGCCCAATCTTCGTCGCCCACTCCTGCCATGCCCCTGTCTTGTCCACGGCTGACTGGCATCAGCTTAGTCTCCCCTTGACCTTATACCTGAACCCCATTCAAGGGTTCCCTCTCTCCTAGGATGTGGCTTCCCAGGGCGCCTCACCTCCTCTATTTCAATCACCATAACTTCATCTGGCTTCATTTCTTACCACTTCATTGTATCCCATGTACTGGCTAGGTTGGCAGTTTTCAGTTCTCCAAATGAACCAAACCAAACCATCATTTAGTCTATGAGACCAAACTGTGGCTACCAGAATGGAAGTGGAAAGGAGAATGAGTCCACATGGGCAAAAGGGATCCACCGTATGGTGATGGATGAAAACCAGCTGTTTAAGGCAAACACAGATAGTATCTACAGATATGTGAAACTTATAAAATTGGTTAAAAACCAATTTCCTATTGGGCTGGAGTGATAGTATAGAGAGAGTATAGAGTAGGGCACTTGGCTTGCACATGGTTGACTGGGGTTCAATTCCCAATATCCCATATGGTCCCCTGACTACTGCCAGCAATTTCTGACTGCAGAGCCAGAAGTAACCCGAGTATCGCTGGGTATAGTCCCAAATCCAAACCCAAATCAAACCTAAACCAATTTTACTTCAGTTAAAAAAAAAAAAAAAAACCAGGGGTCGGAGCAATAGTAAAGCAGGTTGCATGCGCCAATTGGGGTTCAATCCTCAGCAACCCATAAGGTCTCCGGAGCACTGCCAGAAGTAGTTCCTAAGTGCAGAGCCAGGAGCAACCCTTGAGCATCGCTGGGTTTGATCCCAAAAGACCAAATAACAAACAAAACCTATACTTTCTAGGCCAGAGCAGTAGTCCAGTGGGTAGAGTGTGTGCACGCTGCTGCCCGGGTTTGATCACCAGCATCCCCTGTGCACCGCCAGGGGTGATCCCTGAGCAGAGGCAGAAGCAAATCCCCGCACTCCAGGGTATGATGCCAAAACAACAAAAGCATCATACTTTCTCTCACAATAATGACTAGCACTATCTATCCAGCTGTCTCTAACTGAGCTTCATTGTAACTTTCTCTGCCACAAACTTCAGGTAAGATTTGAGACACATGGCATTCGAGGGCATTGAACACTTTACACGTGATGTCACTGATGACGGGAAACAGTGAACACAACTAGATACACTATTCTGTATCACTCGTGCTAACCCAACCCTTTACCTGAATTCAGCAGGCAAATCCAAGTAGTGACTGCTGGTTCGGTACCGCCTAGGTGTAGAAGAGGGGGGTGAAGCAGCTACCGACTTTCCTAGTCTAGCTGCATGAACAACTAATACAAATCACTCTTCATAAAGCCAAAGTGGGGTTACAGATGCGCGGGAACTTCGCCATCCTTAGGTTTGGGTTTCCGTCCTGGAAACTCCTGTCCAGGAGGGCGCTTTCTGTGTGTGTGCTGGGGGTGGGGGGCGTACGATGCTTTTTTTTGGGGGGGAGGCTCAGCAGAATCCAGTGGACCCCGGCAGCACCCTGCTACAGCTTTGATGTGCATCCCAAATCTCTTAAACCGCAGCCCAATCCCCCCCTGTTGTGAAGGTGCTTTCAAAATTAAACCGGGCGTGGGCCGGGGAGCGGTGGCGGGGTCCTGCGGGCGGGCACGTGGGGTGCGGAGCCCCGTGGGGCCGGCGCGGCGCCGCGCAGAGCACGCGGAAGTGGGCACGAGGCCACTCTGCACGGGACTGGCGGAGGCTCCACCGTGCGGACCCCAGCCAAGCCGGCTCTCAAGGTTCCACCGCGCGGCGAGCGGCCGGGAGGGACGCGCAGGTCCCGACCCGCGACGGGGAGCAGAGAAGGCCGAGACGGATACCGACTCGGCGGGCGGCAACTGGAGCCCGCGGCGGCGCGCCTCCCTACCTGCCGGCGGGAGAAGAGCGCGGTGCCGGGCTGCAGCACCCGCGAGCCGCATCGCTGGCACAGCACCGCCTTCCGGTTTCGGCCCTCGGCGGACACCAGCTCGCTCAGCTGCTCGCCGGGTTCCATCGCCGCCGCCACCGACAGCGCCGCCGCCACCGCCACCGCCACGGCCCCGAGCGCTCAGGCGCCGAGCCGGCCTGCTCTTTCCCGACTGCGCAGGCGCGGCGTTCGGGGACGGGCGGGGCGCCGGTGGCCTCGCCCTCGGCGCGCAGGCGCGGCGCGGCGCGGCCGGCCTCGCCCTCTGTGCGCAGGCGCGGTGTTCGGAGGCGGGGAGGATCTCGTCCTCTCTGCGCAGGCGCCACTTTCAGAGGTGGGCGGGGAGTGCGGGGCCTTGCCTTCCGTGCGCAGGCGCCGGCTTCTCGGCACCGGACCCTACTGCGCAAGCGCTCTCATTCATTGCCTAACCAGACCGGCCAGTTGTGGCCTTGGCTTTGTGACAGTGTCATATCCTAGGACGTGATACATCCTCCCCATGCTCACTGGGCTTCCCTTACTGTTGAGTAACACCTGGACATTAACGATTACCAAACACTTCTGCTTTCTGAGACTAGAGTCGTTGCTCTACTGAGGTCAATGACAGAATCTGGATAGCAAGTTTTTATCACTTGACTTACGTAAGTGAAGATGCAGTGAGCTTTAACAGCATTGCTGATCTCTGTTCTAATCGTGTCTATTTAATTACGTGGCAATATTGGATGAAGCACTTTGTTTTGTTTTGGGCCACACGCAGAGATGCTCAGGGATCACTCCTGGTGGTGGTGGTGGTGGGGGGGCATATGGGATGTTGGCATTGAACCCAGCGGAACCACGTGCAAGGCAAGCCCTCTACCCGCAGTACTGTTGCTCTGGCCCCAGGATGAAGCACTTTAGAAACTTAATCACCACAATTTCTCTATGGCTGATGAGGAACCCTATGTCAAGAAGATAAGGGTTACTTTCCAGGACCCATAGATCTGTCATATCTCTGGTTCTAGTGCCTTGCATTTCCTGAAATGGTTCTAGCCTGATTCTAGCCTTGCATTTCCTGAAATGAGTTGACTAGAAGGGAGTCACCTGATTAAAATCGAAAATACGATCACTAACCCAGAGTTTAGTAATTACATACTAAACTCTAAAGGTTTTATAGTAGTACAGTCACAATAAATTACACAGTTTTATACCTAAGAACACAGTCTACCAGGAAGACATCCACATCCAACAATCTGTGATAAAGGATCATGGGGACAAAGTAAATGAAAACACAGATTATTTGGGGAATTAATGGTTGAATTAGGCACTAAAAGGTGATTTTTTAGTAAAGTCATTATTTCAAAGAGAATCAACATAAAAAATGAGATGAGAACAAATATAGGAATGGCACATTATGCTGGGATTAAGAGGCAGAAGATGTTACCCCTGGAGGGGGGACAGGTGACTCCTACCACTCAAACAGAGCCCTGGCACTGGAAACCTCCAGAATCCAGAACTCAATTGCCACCACACTCAAAGCCAATCTCCACAAGCTTGGAAGAATCTCATGCATGAATGAATCTTTTGAAAAACTCAGTTATGTGGGTTTTGTGACCCAAATCTCCAGGTTCTCAAGGAGTCGGGGATGGGGGACCTCCCCTCAACCCCCTGTTCTTCTGAGAGCCTGGCAGCTATGCCCATGAACTGCCTCTGGGACTATATAAGCTCATTAACTGGCCACAATCCAGAGACTCACAAATAAATCTAAGAGATCAATAAGCTGCAGATGCCTCTCATCCCAAAGTCAGCATCCAGATAAAAATTTAACTCCAACTATAACACCTTATTTATAATTTTAGAATTCTTGGAGTATGCAGCCACATTCACGGCCATGCAATATCTCATTCTCTACACCACTGACGTAGCATACATCAGATAGGATGTAAAGTAGAAGGTAACCAATCTCAAAAAAATATTAGCTCATAAGTCTCAACCTGTAACATGTTAGTAATCTCTTATACAGGGGCTCAATGGTTCCTGGGTGAGATACAATTTTCAGTTTCTTCTAAGGAAACTTTTTGGATCATTTTTAGGGAATTATTTATAACAAGCAATACAAAAATAAATCATTTAGGGCCTTCAATCGGGCAGGCTTGGGTGGTGGCTGAGAAAATTAGAAATGGTAGTGGGATTGGTGTTGGAATATTGAATGTAATAAATTATTGTGAACAACCCTGTAAAAATAATTAAAAAAAGAGAGGGAAGTTACTATTCAGAAATGTAGAATGGGCCAATGATCACTATGTGTCTGTTGTCATGCTAAGGAATTTGAACTTAATATGCAGTGGAGATGCTAGCTGAAAATGTGCTAGATGGTAGGTATTGTAATAATTTAAACTGTGCTTTATGAAGATAATTGATCACAAAATGCAAGGTCTAGACAGTAAACAGTGGACGTAGGTTATCAGTAGTCTACTACTCCATGAGTTTGGGCAAGAGATAAAGGCCTCAACTATGTGGTAACAAAAATAACAGATACAGGAGTGTATTTGGAACAAGCAGGGTAAAAGTAGTTTTACATGTTCCTGCAAAATATTCTGTTGTGGCTCTCACATAAGACAGTCTGGAAATTTCTTTGGATTCCCAAGAACTTGGGAGATGTTGATATAACATTAGTTCTTTATTCCCACTTCTCTGGCCCCATTTAACCTACTCCAGCTTTTCCTAGAAAAATGGTATTACATGCCTTATAGACTGGTTTAATCAGCTCCTACCAAACACTGCAGGCTTCAGTGAAATCGCTTTTCCTTAAGGCTCCACTTCTCCCCCCACCCTCAGAGTTTATCAGGATTTTTTTTTTCTTTTTGGGTCACACCTGGCAATGCACAGGGGTTTCTCCTGGCTCATGCACTCAGGAATTACTCCTAGTGGTGCTCAGGGGACCATATGGGATGCTGGGAATCGAATCCAGGTCGGCCGTGTGCAAGGCAAACGCCCTATCTGCTGTGCTATTGCTCCAGCTCCTGTCAGGATTTTTAAAGTCTTGTAGGACTGCAAAGTATATCACATGTCAAAGTGAAAACAGAAAACAGGCTGGGGTGACTGAAACCCTAAAATACAAGTGGGGACTAAGATTAAGACCACCTCTTCCTTGGGGCTGGAGTGATATAGCACAGAAGGTAGGGCGTTTGCCTTGCACGCAGCCAACCCGGGTTCGATTCCCAACATCTCATATGGTCCCCTGAGCACCGCCAGGAGTGATTCCTGAGTGCAGAGCCAGGAGTAACTCCTGAGCATCAACGGGCGTGACCCAAAAAAGAAAAAAAAAAAAAGACCACCTCTTCTTTACTGTCTTTGGTTTTCAAGTCATGTGTGCGATGAACCAATGATTATGGCAAATTCAGTAAAGTACTGACAAGAATCTCCACTGATAAGTAGTAAAGTGACTACTTTTCAACTATGTTTAATAAAGAAACAACCAACTAGTTTGGAAACATGTAAGGTCAAGGAAAAAATTTCTAAGCCCGATTCCTGAAAATGTCTACTAGTTAACCATAAACTCTTTTAGAGGCATTTGAGACTGCTGATTTTTAATATTTTCTTAAAAAAATACAAAGGAAATGAACTCTTTATAGATCAACACAACTTAGGGAAAAAGGAAAAAAATGGAATTTCAGAGTAAAACGAAACACCGTACATCCTTGTTTAGATTATCATATTCCCATACTCCCAATACTCATAAAGCAAGAATTTAAACCTGTAATAGAGGAGCCTCAATTGGTGGCTCAGAAATCGGTATAAGAGATACTGGAATTAACAGCAGAATTTTGATTGACCTTGATTATACTGTCCTGGATGAATAATATACACTCTAAGGAGAGGCAAAATCATTTTACACTGGGGAAAAAAGAATAATGTACCAAACACAGCAGTAAAAATCACTCCTTAGCAGAAGTGTGCCCTTACAAGAGTGGGGCAGTTCTCGGGTAGCTGAATCCTCAGGCTACTGCCACCCGACCCCACCCCAAATAAATAGTATGGAAGTGTAATAGTGTAGTAGTATTTGATTCAACAAAGAATGACAGTCTTGCGTTCACTGAAGGTAAACTTTGCCATGGATAGACAAGCTCTGGCAAAGTATATGATGATTGTAAAGTCACAGGTACAGTTTGTGCCTACATTTACTGAACTCCCACATTTATTCTGTCCCTGTTCATCCCAACACTTGTTTGCTATTCTCTCAATCTGTAGTCTCAAGATGGAAAATAGTTCACCTCAGAAGAACAAGGGGAAATAAAAGATGCGTCAACTGATACACCCTTCGGAGTCTCTCAGGTTAAACTTTGGTGGTGTTCTAGGTTCATCCATATCCCATCAAATTTAGTTTTCTTCACTTACTCCAACTTTACCTCTAATACACTGATCCTGACCCTGAAGGAAGCATTAGATTTCCTGCTTAGACCGTGTCTCTTCACTGTCTTCCAGAACGGAACTGTGTTCTCCTAGCTACCAGCAGACCTGGAAATTTACTTGTTCCTAGAAAATAGATGACTTGGATTCTGTCAAGCTCAGTCAAGTTGGTATCCTTCCAATAATCTAGATACTGCCCACATCTGGTAGGCTAGACTCATCTTAACTCTGCATATGAGGCACAACCAATATACATATGTATATGTATGTTCCCCCAAGCACATGTTAAGGTAGAAATTACCAAAAACAGGTACTCTCAAGACTGGAACAGAAGCGAGCTGGCCTCTTCCATCCATTCAGTATGTTTGCTCTTCTCTTGCATGTCTTCACCCCCCCTCAGGGACCACTAACCAGCGCAAGGGGAACTGTATGTCAAATAAGGACAATCATAACAGCACTGGTGCCTGTAATCTCCCCGTGTACACAGTGAGAAACAGACATTCTGGAAAGGATCCTTGATTCTCCTGTAGTCTGTCCCCGAGACCAGTCACAAGCTCTGCAGCATGCTCCAACTGTCACTTCTCCCGGAGAACACACACACCAGCATCACAGCGCTGGGTTCCCATGGACGTCACCACCTCCCAGCTGTCGATGACAGGGTCATAGCACTCAATGCTACTCAGCAGGGAATTCCCGTCATATCTGAGTGGGGAAGAAGCAAAAAGCAGAAATGAACTTTCCACGGCAGGCTGCCACAGAGGATTTCCACCAACCAATCCTCATCTCCACCAAAACCTGTGAACGGATGCGGTTGGTTCTGGACACATGACAACACTAGGCTGACTGCTAGGTTCTCACCCTGCAATGGCATAGAGTCTTCCCCGGAGCACTGTGGCCCCCACATAGCACCGTGGTGTGGTCATACTTGTAACAGTTGTCCAGGAATCGGTGCGAATGTTATACGCCTCAACAGAAGAAAGGTGGGCTGTACCATCAAATCCCCCCACCACATAAATATGGTCATTCAGCAAGGCTACTCCGGCACCTGGAGAAAAAGACAAGAGAGCAAATGAGCACTACTCAGCTGAGGAAATGATGAGGAAATGAATTTCTAGGAAAAAAGGAGTGTCACTGATGGCTTATTGAATTCTAGGGTAGCTGAGAAATGCCATCTGACCAGCTAGGCCTTAAATAATTTAGTCCTGTCCAGGTCACCCTATCACTGAGCTCTTTACAACGAGAAGCAAAAAGGTCAGAGCAACAGTACAGCAGGTAGGGCATTGATCTTACAAGGAGTTGATCCAGGTTCGATCCCCAGCACCCCAGATGGTTCCCTGAGCCTTCCAAGAGTGATCCCTGAGCACAGAGCCCTTTGTAAGCCCTGAGCAGGCTGTGTGGGGCCCAAAAACAGAAACAAAAGGAAGCAACTTGAAAGGCTTCTCATTTTCACATTCATTCAGAGCCCAATGCACCATGTGGTCCTTGAGCATTGCTGGATGTGGCTCTGCTGGCCTCTAAGCACCTCTGGGGAGAGAGCAGGGGCTGGTGGTCCCCCACACTGTAGGGCCAGACTAGCACATGCTTGGGCACTGTATCCTCAGGTCCTAGCTCTAAAGCACTGACCAGATTGGCTGAGCATCACGGGAGTGGCCCCAGACCCCCTTGAGCACACTTGGGAAGCACCCCTCCATCTCCTGACAAAACCCCAGCACCTGACAGCATCAATAAAGCCCCCTCTCTTCCCTGACTGTTTTACCTGAGCGTTTGGTGGCCATTGGTGTAACATTAGTCCAGTGTCCAGTATGTGGATCGTATTTCTCAACTGAATTTAAGATATTCAAGCCATCATATCCTCCTGAAAGATAGGTAGAGACCATTCCAGAAACGACCAGAAACACCTCTGACCATTCCCAGCTGCCTTTTGTTGAGTGCTTCAACATTCTTCTAGTTTCAGTTCCCTCTCAAGAGTTCTAATAATCTGGAGGGAAATCTAATACTCTATTTTCTTCTTTCATAAAAACCCCAGTTAGTGGAAAATGTACTGGGGCAGCCCAGGGTTTCAGCCTGTGGATTCAATTCTGTAAGAAGGCCTCAGCCCCACCCTGTCATTCTCTCCCACCCCGTGGCCCAGGGCAAATACCTAGACAGTAGATGACACCACTGGCCACCACTAGTCCAGCACCTTCCCGGGCTGTCTGCATGTCCCCCAGCATACTCCACTGGTCAATGTTCGGGTCATAGCGCTCCATACTGGTATGACGCCTGCTTCCATCAAATCCCCCGGAGACATAGATCATATCTGCTCAGAAAGAAGAGATCAGAAACTATCAGGAGAGAGAGTTCTAGTTATTTGTTGCTCTACACATTTCAGCACAAGTTCTTTAAATGCTTTGGAGCAAAATTGTAGTTTAATTTTCAGTGGGGGGGGGGGGGGGGGGAGGGAGTTTTGGCCACACCCGGTGATGCTCAGGGCTTACTCTTGGCTCTACACTGACGAATTACTCTGAGCGGTGCTGGGGGACCATATGGGATGCTGGGGATTGAACCCGGGTCAGCTGTGCAAGGCAAACAGCCCTAACTGCTGTTAATTTCTCTGGCCCTAAACTTTAATTTTTGTAAATCATTTTAGTCTTACAGATAAGGAAGACATCAACAGGATGAGATAAGATAGAACCCTCAAAGCCAGTCGATGTTTGCAAACAAACAAGGACTGGTGCTGACTTCGTACTGGAACCTGACTCACCGGTTCTGTGTTAGAGCCGGAACGTCCATTAACACTGAACAACTCTGACAGCAGTAACATTTCCAAGCGCTTAAGGAGTATCCGACATTACCCGTATTCACCAGGGTTTACGTTCCAGCCAAGCAACAGGAAAGATCGGTCCTGCTCTAGCCCAACAGGACCAACAGTGCCCTGGACACCTACCTCCTAAGGTGGTGGCACCAGCAAGGCCTCGCCGCACATTCATGGGGGCCACCGAGTACCAGACCCCATCCTCATCTGCGGTGTAATCGAGACATTCCACAGAGCTGAGGCGGGAACGGCCGTCGTAGCCACCAATCACGTAGATTCGGTCGTGTAGGGAAACGGAGGCCACGTAACGTCGCTTACGAGTGATGCTCTGTGGGTTAGGGAGAAAAGAGGTACAGGGCATTTCACTCGGGCAAGCCCTTCTGCTTTCCTGGTTTTATTTCTATACCTGTGCCTCTTCGCTTGTCCCCATGTAGCCTTCCTGCCTACTGCCTGAATACCTTCTTGATTTTTGTGGTGCCCTGAAAGAAGTAAAGTCTTCTGTTATTTGCCTCATTCCACAGCTTCCACTAATGCCTTGGGCCAGAGACAATACTGCGAGGAGAGCTCTTGCCTGCAAGTGACCCGTGTTAGATCCTTGGTACTACTTATGGTCCCCTGAGCATCGCCAAAAGTGATCCCTGAGTGCAGAGGAGGGGTAAGTACAACACCCCCTCCACCTGCCCCATCCCACATAATAAAAGCTTAATGGTTGTAAACTGGAGAGTATACGGGTGCATGCCTGGCATGCAGCTAACACCAGTTTGAAGACCCAGCACCACATATGGCCCCAAGGAGTACTGCCAGGGGTCAGTACTGAGCCAGGAACTGCTCCTGAGCACCACTGGGAATGGTCCAAAACAAAAAGTCAAATAAAGATTATGTCTTTCTGACAACCAGTAGCTAACTCCTTTTGTTCCCATAAGGCACTGGATGAAAAGACAAATTCTCCACTGAGTAGAAAAACACCCTTTCTCAAAAAAACAAGGATTCAAAGACCCTACATGTTAGAAGGGCTGGGCAGAGATGGAGTCCAAAGGCAGAGCTCTTGGGTGAGGGCCTTGGGTGGAATCCCAGGCACCACGCAAAAAAAGAGAGAAACAGTCTTTCTCAAAAGACCTCCCGGGGCTGGAAAGACAGCACATTTAGGGCATTTGCTTTGCACGCTGACAGATCCGGGTTCAATTCTCAGCATCCCATATGTCCCCTGAGCACCGCCAGAGTGCAGAGCCAGGAGCAACCCCTGTGCATTGCCAGGTGTGACCCAAAAAGCAAAGAAAAAAAAGACCTCCCTATTTTAACACATCAGTTATTGAGTAATGTAAAGTAACATCAAAGAAAGATACAAAGTCCAAGTGCAGCTGAATACAAGTTTACTCTAATTCAAGATTCCATTTCAGAAAGCATGAGAAAGGGGCACACTAGAAATCATACACAGCGCTCAGGAAGGTGCTGAAATAGTTGTGGTCAGCTGAGTTTAATTTGGCACAGGGCCATTGATATTTCTGGAGTCTAACCTAAACATTGAGTAACCATTTACTGAGTACCTACTGCATGCATCGCACAGTTGTACGGAAAATTTTGAGTTTTGGCTTTTCTTTTGTTATTGGTGGGGCTGAAGCGATAGCACAGCAATAGGGTGTTTGCCTTGCACGTGGCTGACCCGACCGACCCGGGTTCAATTCTTCCACCCCTCTCGGAGAGCCTGGCAAGCTACCGAGAGTATCTCACCACACTGCAAAGCCTGGCAAGCTACCTGTGAAGTATTCGATATGCCAAACACAGTAACAAGTCTCACAATGGAGTCTGCTGGAGGAAATTTATGAACAATGGGAGGACAGTGCAACAATTTATCATTGGTGTTCTTATACCTAGCTCTGTGCCTAGGGATCTCCTAGCTGGGTTCTGGGGACCATATGGAGTACCAGGGATAGAACCCAATCTGCTGCATGCAATGCAAATACCCTACCTGCTGTACTACCACTCTGGTTCCAGTTTAGGCTCTTCTGGTTTTTTATTTTTGGGCCACACCTGGTGTGCTCAGAAGTTATTCCTGGTTCTCCACTCAGGAATTACTCCTGGTAGTGCTCGGAGTGGGATGCCAGCATACGGGATGTCGGGATTGAACCCAAGCCAGCTGCATGTAAGGGAAAGCACTACCTGCTGTATTATTGCTCCCTGAGGCTTTTCTGCTTTAAAACTGATTAATTATGATCTCGAGTCAGATTAAGTTCTTCCCCCACAACTGGTTCTAACTTACTGGCAAAAAACTCCACTCCTGAGTCTTAGGGTCATATTTCTCTACCACATCAATTGGAGATTGCTGGCTTCCAAAGCCCCCGACCACCAGAAGCACCTCATTGGCTCCTGCGGACAAAGGGAGAGAAAAATCAATTATTTAAACATTCATGCCTACTTAAGTACAAACAAGTCTAAAAATATTCTGCTTTACATGATAGCGAGAAGGAATAAGCAACAGAAAACTCTGCGTAAGGTAGCCAAGTAGGAAATTATTTCTTTTTTGAGGCTGTAGTTCCTAATTGCCCAAATCTTTTAAATTTAAATTTCTGGACAATATAAAAATTCTAGAAGAAAACTTGAATATATCGCTGTACCAACTGTCCTATGCAGTTGACCAGGCTGACCTAGTAAAGTTTTGAGTGCTGGCAAGAGGCTAATGAGAGCCATGCCTTTAACAGCCTTTAAAATGTCAATCTGGGGGCTGGAGAGATAGCACAGCGGGTAGGGTGTTTGCCTTGCATGTGGCCGACCTGGGTTCAATTCCCAGCATCCCATATGAGCACCACCAGGAGTAACTCCTGAGTACAGAGCCAGGTGTGACCCAAAAAGCAAAAAAAAAAAAAGGGTCAATCTGGTAGTCTTTTTTGGTAAGGAAAAACCATGTCTCAAAAGAGTTGAAAGTGTGTCTTGGAACCAAGTACTAAGAAGGTGTTTTGGTTTTGGCCATACCTGGCAGTGCTCAGAGATCAGTCCTGGTGGGGCTTGGGGGGAATCAACCCCAGGATGGTGACGTGCAAGGCAAGTGCCCTGCCCACTGCACTATAGCTCCTACCCAGTGATAAGAATTTTAAAGTCTCCTTTCCATGAACGTCCCTTTATCCAATGTAGCCAATCACATGCCCATGCTGCTCGGTAGCACTGTAGCACTGCACTGTCCTCCCTTTGTCCTCCCTCCACTGTCCTCGATTTGCTCGAGCGGGCACCAGTAATGTCTCCATTGTGAAACTTGTTACTGTTTTTGGCATATCGAATACGCCACAGGGAGTTTGCCAGGCTCTGCCATGCAGGGGGGATACTCTTGGTAGCTTGTCAGGCTCCTGCAGAGGGACAGAGGAATCAAACCCGGGTTGGCCACGTGCAAGGTAGACGCCCTATCCACTGTGCTATCGCTCCAGCCCATGCTGCTCAGCAGTATGTAAAACTGTCAAATGATGAGCAGGATTTTTTCTGAGGAAGCTTCTTTTAACTGGTCTCCTTCCAAAAAGCCAAGTGTTTAAGAAAATCCCCTTTATATCTGCTTTACCAGAATTCATGAAGAAACTGGTTAGCTGAAGCAGAGATGGGCTGGGAAATGGATGGCTCAAAGAGCTAGAGTGCTGTTCTTGGCCAATGTGATAGGTACTTCAAATCTAGGGCCGAGAGCTATGCTGCTGCTGGCTGGGCTGAGGAATACCTGGGTGAACCTGGCAATACTCCGGGCCTCCAGGCTATACCTGGTGATGCTCAGGGCCCCGTGGGCTACACCTGATGATACTGAAGGCCCCGCCGGCGATACCTGATAATGGTCGGGGACTGTAGGCTATACCTGGTGATGCTGGGATCCTTGAAGGCTACACCTGGTGATGTTCAATGGTGGTAGTTGTGGGTGTCCTCCAGGACTATACCTGGCAACACTTAAAGGTGCCAAGGATCTAACTGGGAAGGGCTGCGTGTAAGACATCCATCTCAATCCCTTTATCATCTTTGAATTGTACTGAATTCCCCTACTTACTATGCTGATAAACATCTGAGAAGAAAGAGGTGGACAAGTGGGCAAAGCATAAAATTTAACTTACTACATGGCTCTCAGCGTCATTGTTGTCTCACTGATGCAAATCTACTAAAATTATTATATCAGAGCTGACAATTTATGTACTTTCATCACTTACAGAATCATCTAAATGGTTATGTGAAATTGTCTGGGAAGATAGCCTTGGTTTATAGAAAAAAGCTTGTCCAAGAAAACATAATTTTAAAAAGTTTGAAAACAAGTCTGAAAATAATGACTTTGTACTTCTCACCAAAAATACCTTGTGACTCTATCACAGCCCTTTACCAGCTTACCCAGACGGGCCCTGGTCCTGGGGCCCTGCATCTGACTTCGTAGCTCAGGTCTCAGATGAAACTTCTTTGCTTCATCCACTAAGTCCCTGCACTGCAAACTACAGCGGATGAAGGGCTGAAAGACAGCAGAGAGGAAGTGAGCTAATGACACAAACAGATAGCACATTCAAGAATCAAACCACTCAAGGCCCTGTGGTTCCAGGAGTAACTATACTGTGGGTTTCTAGAAACGATTACATTTTCGTTGATAAAATATTACACAACTCAAAAGTCAAATTCAGAGATATATGAGAACATGAGAAGTATTCCCCAGTCCCCACCCCACTAGTACTTAGAGCTTTTATTAGTTTGTTTGTACACATTCCAGTGATTACACAAATTCACAAGCACACATTACCTAATAAGAACTTAAAAGCTTGTTATTTTCTGGCGTGAAGGAAGGAGCCAATCCTGTCTGCCTTAACTTCCCTAAGGCTCGCAGCACTGTCCTAATGCTAGGGTCTATTTCTGAAAGACGTCGCTCACCTCCCCATATGCACTCTGCACCCTTCTCCACTCAGTTTTCTGGACCTGAAGATGACCCCTCTGGTTGCTAGCTGAGCACCCCAGCTCAGGAGCTCAGCAGGGAGAGTGAAGCCAGATTCCCTCATTACAGGGTCAGTGGTGCACCTGGGGTTTCAGCCCTGAGTCTAGTTCCAGGGTGTGTGCTCCTAACCATGATGTAAAGAAACAGACAACACAGGAAGATACAGGGGTCGTAAGAAATTCAAAACAGGGGAAATCAGAGTTTATACCGATCGTGCCCTTTCTCATGTGAGTAGAAAACTAATTAACTCCCAGGGAGACCTGGAGCAGTGCCTGACCCATATGTTATAAATCAGTATTTCCCCAGAGCAGAGACTGGATACTATAGGTGACGTATCTGATAAAATTCTGAAAATGCACCACAAAAGAAATCCCAAAAAAATTAGAGAGAAACATTTATTTACTTATTTTTGTTGTTTTTTTTTTTTGGAGTCACACCTGGTGGTGCTCAGAGCTTACTCCTGACTCTGACCTTGTGGATCACTCCTGGTGGGGTTCAAGGGACCATATATTGTGCTGGGAATAGAACCCAAGAGAAACTCTTTTATAACAAAACTTGGTATGACTGGACTCCAGTTGATACTAAGATACAACAAACTACTTTCATAATGCCCACACCAGAGACCAGACAAAATGAAAGAGATTCTGAGCAATTTTAAGTAACTTATTTCTGTTTAATGAGAAGGGCTAAAGCTTATCATTTGATTTTACTTACAGAAAATACAGGGGCATGTAAAACAGAAAGACTACAAAACAAGTAAGTAAATCAAACTTTTCTTGTCACAACAGGATTTTTGCTTGTGCTGGTAGCAAACAACTGCCTGGAGACACCTAACACAGCCTTCCCTCCAGCAGTCCTGGACAAGCCTAGCAGGAGACAGGCACCTACATCAGAATACCCTTTCTCAGGACACTGCATGAAGCTACAAGGGCTAATCATGGCCATGAGTCTTGTGTAATTTACGGGACTCACCTCAGCATCTATGACATCCGTGATGTACCTGGGGGTGAGCAGGGGCATGCGGACGTACTGCAGCAAGTCAGGCAAGGACTCTTCCCGCTCCTTCTTGGCATGCTTTACCCAGTTGATGACGGCCTCAAAGACGGGCTCTTCAGAATCAACCTGTAAATGCACAGTTGTACATCACGGATATCTATTCTTATGATTGTCTCTTAACTGCAAAGACATCTCAAAGACCCCAGACTAACTTTCTCCTTCTTGCTCCCAAGCCCATGCCACTATTACTTTCCATACTCCCAAGAACAGCCAGGATCTTGGGAAAACAATCTTTCAGACCATTCCCAGTAAGATTAGGAAAAGAATTATTGCCAAATTGGACCCTCCCCAAATATATGTGGTATGTGTGTGTGTGTGTGTTTGTGTGTGTGTGTGTGTTCTGGGGGCTATACCCGGCAAAGCTCAGGGCTTACTCCTGGCTCAGGAATAAAATTTTTTGGGGGGGCACCCCTGGTGGTGCTTGGGGAACAATATGTGGTGCTGGGGATCAAACCCAGGTTGGCAGTAGGCAAAGCAGACACCTTTACCCTCCGTACTATCTCTCTGGCCCTGAGATACAATTTTTCAATCCTGAACAGAGATCCTAGAACTTACTGATCTGATACACTAGATACACTAGAATTGTAGATAAACAGCTAAACTGGAAGAAAAGACTCCAACTCCAATGTTTCATTATGGAGAAAAATTCTCCACAAACGTTCAGAGAGAATTCTTTTATAGATTAGGCTCTGGCATTATTCTTATCTTATGTTCAGAAAATTCGATGTACCCGTCCCCCATCCCCCAACTACATTTAACAGAAGAGGGAATGAAAAACCAGTGATCAGACAACCACATCACAGTCAAAACTAAACTGCAGATTCTACAGTTCATGTTGCTTTAACCAGTACAACCTTCTGCTTCCCAGTTTTACTGTTGTTTTCTACAGTGAGGAAGGGTTAGCAACAGACAGCCAGACATCCTTCTGTTCTAGGTGGCATAAACAAAACAGAAAAACAGAAAACAGAAAAAACGAATTACTTGCTGCCCTCCCAGATAAGAGTAAAGGCCAGGGGCTGGAGCGATAGCACAGCAGGTAGGGCGTTTGCCTTGCACGAGGCCGACCAGGGTTCAATTCCCAGCATCCCATATGGTCCCCTGAGCACTGCCAGGAGTAATTCCTGAGTGCAGAGCCAGGAGTAACCCCTGTGCATTGCCTGGTGTGATGCAAAAAGCAAAAAAATAAATAAATAAAAATTTAAAAAAGAGTGAAGGCCAGGTCTGGCCTTTGTAACTATACAATGTAACTATACAAAAGCAAAACAAAACAAACAAACAAAAAAAAAACCCAACAAATTTTTTCATCTAAGCTTCTGAACAAGATAGCTGTTTACTTACTCTACCTGTTCCATGTAGTTTAATTCCAAAGTCTGTACACCTCTAAAATAACTGATTTCTTTTTAAAAAAATTTTTTTTAATTTTATTTATTTATTTTTGCTTTTTTGGGTCATACCCAGCGATGCAGGGTTACTCCTGGCTCTGCACTCAAGAGTTACTCCTGGTGGTGCTCAGGGGACTACATAGGATGCTGGAATCGAATCCGGGTTGGCCGTGTGCAAGGCAAACGCCCTACCCGCTGTGCTATCTCTCCAGCCCCTAAAATAACTGGTTTCTGTGACTTCTTCCTAATAAGGTCACACTCAGGACCAGAGTTTGTTCAATGAGCTGAGTGCTTGATTTACATGAAGGAGGCTGTGTCTGATCCCTAGCACCTCATACTCTCCTGAGTACTGCCAAGAGAGAATTCTGAGCAGAGCCAGGAGAAGCTACAGAGCACTACATGGAGTGACTGCAAAACACAATGAAACACAGCCAGGTCAAGATGGACAAGTACTCTGAGGCAGTTTTCCTTGATGGGGTTGTGTTGGGCCCCCAGGATATTCTACAGGGTCACTGTGTGAGAAATCATATAAACGGGGAGAAGGGAGGCCCTCCTTCAGTACCCCCCAGCACCACAATGAAGCACCATTTCTTCAACATCTGTAAATCAGCTCTGACTTTCTCTTTGGTCCCTTCTTTTTTTTTTTTTTAAATGTTTCTTTGACCACACCCAGCTGTGCTCAGGACTTATTCTGGGTCTGTGCTCAGGGGTCAGTCATCCCTGGAGGTGCTCAAGGGACCATACAGGGTGCTGGAAATCAAACCCAACTAACTTGCATGGGAAGAGCCCTATCCAGCCTTCTAACCATGTACTTCACTGAGCAAAGTGGCAAATTCCTTCCCACAAATATGCAAATACATCTGGTATATTATATCAGGGAGTTAACAAAGCTTTGGAATCAATCTGGACACTTGAGTTTTTATTTGTTTTGGGGCCACATCTGTCAACTATGTACTTGGAACTACTCCTGGTGGTGCTCAGGGGACCATACGGGATGCTGTAGATTGAACTTGGGTCAGCTATGTGCGAGGCAAACATCCTACCTGCCTCACTATCGCTCTGGCCCTGCTTTTTGGGAATTTTGTAAAGGTTCCGTCTTCAAGAAATTATACTAACAAAGCCAAGTCTGTACCTGAATTTCATCACACTTGATCAGTTTTTCCACCTCTCCTTGACTCAGCAGGATGAATTCTTCATGCTGCACCACTTCGGGAAAATGCTTCTGGCTGAACACTTCGGCGGCTTGCATTAGGTCAACACAATTGTGAGTCTCAGCAAAATCTCGGATGCCCAGGCAATTAGAAGGGTCCAGCTGACTTTCTAAGAACTCACAGCAGGCTTGCTTCACCCCTAGGACAAATACCAAGAGTAAAAACGTCAGGACACTTGGCCAGGGGTCAGCTGGTCTACCAAAGAATCAGAATGGAAAAACAAACCCTAGCTAGGTCTTGTGTGCTGTGGGATCTGCATTTGCTTATACTGTAAAACGATACATCCAGACCAACTGCTTCTTTGCACACCAGCACAATGAAACAAAACTACCTAATGAGGGCCAGAGCCGACAGCACAGCATGCAGGATGTTTGCCTTGCACCAAGGGCCGAGTCAGGTTCAATCCCGGACAGTATTCATGGCCCCCCTGAGACTGCCAGGAGTGATGCCTGAGAAGAGCAGTATAAGCCCTGAACACCGCAAAATGTGCCCCTCAAGCCCCCCTCAAAACACCCAAACCTTAATGTGGACAGGAATATGGCTCTGGTGGGAGAGAAAGCAAGCAGAAGAGGGCCTGGGTTCAGTCCTCAAGCACTTGCCTAGACTATGAGCATTCCTAGGAGTGGCCTTAGGCAACTGTGCATAGCTGGGTGAATCCTGCACAACACTGAAAAGTGTCCCTAAGGGAATCAATTGAGAAAACCATATAATTCAGTATAATGTACCTAAGTTTCTAATTTATTGAATCTTCATAAAGGACTCTGGAAACATAACATGTACTAATAGTGGCCTCATTTTTCTGTACTTGAGAAGTTTAGAATATAAACTTAGTTTTTAGAACTGCAATACAAAACTATCACATAATTCAAAGCACAGTCTAAAAATGGGGAACAATCATGTAATAAACATAATAGCATGACAAAATATAAACTGGAAGAACGGTCTCTAACCTATGTCTTTTATTTTTATTATTACTATTTTTTTTAAGCTTTTTGGGTCACACCCGGCAATGCAAAGGGGTTACTCCTGGCGGTGCTCTGGGGACCATTTGGGATGCTGGAAGCCGAACCCAGGTCAGCTGTGTGCAAGGTAAATACCCTACCCACTATACTATCACTCTAGCCCCAATCTCTCACTTTAAAAATTTTTTTTAATTGAGTATTTTTAATTGAGTATCTGTGAGATAGACCACTGCAAAGCTGTTCATGATTGGGTTTCAGTCATACAGTGGTATAACACCCCTCCCTCCACCAGTGTACATTTTCCACCACCAATATCGCCCATTTCCCTGCCACCATACTCCAGCTGTCCCTCCATCACCAGCCTGCAGCTATGGCAGGCACTTTTCTTCTTTCTCTCCTTTTGTGAATTATGGTTTGCAATACAGGTACTAAGAAGTCATCGTGTTTGTTTAGGGAATTCAGTATTTTTATTGGGAAGGTAAAGCTGGAGTAGCTTCTTAAACTGGGCAACAGCTTTAGGATGTGAATGTGACTGCCAAAGCTGCAGCTGGTTCATGGGGGTGATTGCCAGTGCTTCTAAGAGTATAGGGAAATGGGAAGGGGGTAGCTCATCCCAGCTCCTAGAAAGCCTGGAGATTTCAGTCACAAAACCTGCATACCCAAATTTTCAACAGGTTAATATCTTGGTGAGGTCAGTCCTGAAACAGGAGTCCTGAAACAGGTATGGTGGCAACTTTGGATTATGGGAGCAAGCAGCTGTCGGGAGCTCTGCTTGGGCAGGCACCAGGCTGATCTGTCTCCCACCAGTTTACCCTGGTCTGTTCAGCCTTGTATGGGTCTGAGATTAACTGCAGCTTTTGATATCTTACAAGATTTACTTCTGGGTTTCTGAAGCAAGGACAATAAAAGAGCTTGTATAGCTGAGCCAAAGGTAGTTTGTGGGTGTGCTCCCACATACCTAACTTTTGGCCGTTTAATTTCTTGGGAAACTTGGTCCCAAGTTGTTGAGGTCTGGCCAGAGGCAGGGGGCAATTTTGGGGTTATCAGGAAGCCTGAAGTCACCATCAGTCTGCTGACGTACTCGCCCTGTGGGTACAGGCTGACCTGCTGGTGGCAGCGCACCCTGATATCTCTCACTTTTATGTGCCAATTTTAAAGTTTATTGTTGTTTTGAGGCCACAGCCAGCAGTACTCAGGGCTTATTCCTGGCTCTGTGCTCAGGGCTCACTCCTAGTGGGGCTGAGGGACCATATGGGGTGCTGCAGATGGAACCAGGGTTGGCCATATGCAAGGCCAGGGACCTCCCTGCTATACGACCACTCTCACCCACCTTTAAAGGGTTTGCCAAAAATGGTTCCCTGGCAATCCAGTTCTCCACTGGCTAAATGAACAGTACTGAGTTTCCCTAGATTGTACACTTTCGTGTGCATTTACATGGAAGAAAATGCACCCACTGTCCTCATCTATCTTGTTAGAAATAAAAAACTAGAAGGAATGGAGAGATAATACAGCAAGTACAGCACTTACCTTGCAAGCGACTGCCCCAAGTTCAATCCCTGGCATCCCATTTAGTCTTTTGAGTCCTTCCAGGAATGATCCCTGAGCACAGAGTCAGGAGTAAGCCCTAAACACTGTCAGGTATAACAAAAAATTGGGGAATTTCTCTCTCTCTCTTTTTTTAGTTGTGGGACCACAGCCAGTTTTAGCCAGGGCTTATTTCTGGTTCTATGCTCAGGGATCACTCCGAGGAGGGGATAAGGGGCCATACGGAGAGCTAGGGATCAAAACCAGACTGGCTATGTGCAAGGTAAGCGCCCTACCCCATATACTACCTCTCCAGCCCAAGCAAATTCTCTTTTATAAAGAGTAAACACATCTGAAGAGGATCCTTTCTACTGCAAATGTTCTGTGCCATGAGCAGACAACATGGGCAACCAAAGTCTGGCTCTGTAATAAGTGATACAGCTTATATCACTTAAAAGACTTCGGGGGGGCGGGGGTGTTCCTGGAGATGAACCATAGGTAAGGTAAAGGTAAAGGCCCTCCCGTTGTTCATCGATTTGCTCGAGCGGGCCCAGTAACGTCTCCATTGGAGACTTTGTTGTTACTGTGTCTGGCATATCGAATACGTCGCAGGGAGCTTGCCAGGCCCTGCCGTGCGGGTGAGATGAACCATGTCTATACCTTTCAGCTGAAGCAGACAGGCTGCAGGGAGCAATTCTTGCACGTTCTCCACCGTCACATGTACTGTTTCTGTGTACACAAAGTCCAACAGGATTTCCATGGTGGAGGCAGTTAAGCCTTGGATATCAACATAGGGTTTCCCCTTCTCTGAAAGCTAAAAAATTAAGAGTACGAAATAATGGTTTTAATTCCTCAAGATAAAGGCACAGTCTTATATCTAGGCATCTGAAGGGATGTCAGTACTAAGTGAATACACATCCTGTACAAAACTGCAGTCCAGCCTGCTCCTCAGGCCATGTTCTCCTTTGAATACCCATCATTTATGCCTTTCTAGCTTCCCCTCACATCTTTGTAAGTATGTTTCACTGAAAACTCTCTCTCTCTCTCCTCTCTCCTCCTTCTCTCTCTCTCTGTCCAATTCTTCTAGGTCTTAGAACAAATCATAGTAAAATTTGTATGGAATCATGAAACTACCCAAACAGCCAATTCTGAAAAGAATGAAGATTGGAAGTACAGCACTTCCTGACTTTATACTATAAAGGCACAGAAATTAAAACTGTGTGGTAGTGAAATAAAGGCAGACTCTAACAGAACTGAGACCCCAGAGAAAAACCCTCAGACACATGTATAGTCCATCTAGACAAAGGAGCTGGGTGTGTGAAGTAGGACAAGGAAAGCCTCTTCAACAAACGGTGCTGGCAGGGTGTAGGGGGAAAGGAAGGTAGAGAGTGCAGAGAGACAGTAAAGCGGGGAGGGTGCTTGCCTTACAAGTGGTCAATCTGGGTTCAATCACTGGCACCACATACAGTTCCCCAAACCCTCAACTCTCTCTCTCTCTCCTCTCTCCTCCCTTCTCTCTCTCTCTCTCTCTCTCTCTCTCTCTCTCTCTCTCTGTCTCTCTCTCTGTCCAATTCACTCTCACTGTAGGAGTGATTCCTGAGCACAGAGTCAGGAATAAGCCCTGAAGCATCACTGCGTGTGCCCCAAAACAAAAACACGTCCCCCACCCCCAAAAAAAACAGGTGCTGGGAAAACTAGATAGCAAATGCAAAAAACCTTACACTGGACCCCTATACTCACACCATTCACAAAAACTAAATTCCAAAGTGGATTAAAGACCTCGAAATCGATAAAGCACAGATTAAAGAGTGTGACTAGGTTCAACCAAAAAGTTTTAGTAGAGCAAAAGAAACACAAAAATCAAAAGACACCCCAGTGAATGGCATAAAGTATCTGTACACCATTGATCAGATAAAAAGCTGGTTACCTAAGACAGACACTCACAAAACTCTACAACATAAAACCCGGTTACACCAACAAAGTATGGGAGAATAGATGAACAGACATTTTTCCAAAGGGGACACAGGAATGTCCAGTAGGCATATGAAAAAGTGTTCACTTATCAGGAAAAAGCAAATCAAAGGACAATGAGCTATCACCTTGTATTCATTTCAATGGGAATTTCTCAGAGGGTATCAGCAGGCCAGGAGGGGCCCTAAGGCCCATCACGTCACCAGGGTATCTGGCAGGGCCAGAGCGGCACAGACATTCTGGAGCCTCAGCATCAACTGTTGGCCTGGGCAGCACTGGACAACAGACTGGAAGGGTACAAATCCAGGGAGGGTCTTCCTGTGCTCTCCCCCACCCCCCTGAGCACTACTTGGAAGACACAGGAGGGAAAGAAAAACAAACCAAAAGGAGTTTTCTTGCCTGATGGCAGTTTTTAATTCTTGTAAAAAACTCCACTGATTTCTGAATGTGCAGAAAGAGGACAGGTTAGTTTTCTACAAGCTGACAAAGAGTTGGATGCATGGGCTGGAGAGATAGTACAGTGGGTAGGTGTTTGCTTGCACTTGGCCGACCTGGATTCAACCCCCGCGTCCCATATGGTCGCCTGAGCACCACCAGGAGTGATTCCTGAGTGCAGAGTTAGGAGTAGGCTCTCACAATGCAAGGTGTGACCCCAAAATAAAGAAAAATAGGATGTACAGTATATCCTTAGCAGGCGGCAGTCACAGCCCAATCTCTGTACTCAGCTCAGTGCCGACTGCTCTGATACTGCTGTGAATAGTTCAGGATAGGAACTTGTAGGACATCACACAAATCTCTTACGTTAGCATGGGTTTGCAGATGACAGGGCAGAGCTCCAAGTGCTCCTGAACGGCTGTGTGACCGAGGACTGGTTCACTGGCTCACAGCATTACAAACTATTTTTCTAAGTTTAAAACTAGCTGTTAAGGGCTGAAGAAGACAGAACAGCGCCTAAGGTATTTGCCTTGCATGCAGCTAACCTGGTTTAATCCCTGGCACTGCATATGGTCGCTGAGCACCACCAGGAGTGATACCTGAGCACAATGTGACTCCAAAACCAAAGCAAACACACAAAATACCTTTTAAAAGAAGTAGACCTTAGGATTTAAACCCCTACTTCAGAAGCTAAGAAAAATCAATACTTAAAAAATTGTGCTTCAGGGGCTAGTGCAGCCTTGCACGCGGCCAATTGGTTTGATTCCCAGAATTATGTGTGATGTCCTGGTTGCACCCAGAATGATTCCTCAGTAAGCTCTGAGTAACACCGGGTCTCCCCTCCCCCCCAAAAAGAAATCCCACAAAATGCTGTGTTTTGGGAGTTGGAGCAATAGTACAGCAGGTAGGGTGCTTGCCTTGATTCTGGCTTTGACTTCTGGCACCCCATTCAGTTCCTCTGCCCCACCAGGAGTGATCCCTGAGCGTAGAGCCAGGATTAAGCCCTAAGCATAGCCAGGTTGGCCCCTGCTGACCCCTGGCCCCTCCCCAAAAAATCCACAACAAAATATTGTGCTCTGGAGGGCCTGAGGGAGTACAGCAGGTAAGCCTTGCGAGCACCAATCTAGTCAATCCTCCAGCACTATATATGGTTTCCTGAGCACTGCCTGGAGTGGTCCCTGAGCACAGGGCCAGGAACAAGCCCTAAGACTGCCAGGTGTGGTCCAAACACAAACGCACAAATAGAGGATTGAGTCTTCCCTACATTTTCAAGTCATCAGACTTTAAACCAGTTATTTACTATGAGAGACCTAGTTTCTTCCTTTGTAAATGAAATGGTAGCAATTGTCCCTAGGGCAAGTAAACTTAACAATCACCCTGCACAGCACCTGGCCCATAAAAAGAAGCCCCTATCATTATTATGAAGCCACCTGCCCTGTGGAAACTCAGCAAAAACATCTTCACTAAGGCCATGGGACTAACTGAAAGAATACTGGAGGCCAAAAATCTTCCATGCTATCATAGTGCCAGATTTACAGCTCACATAATAGTATACATAACTTTGTAGTAGAGAATGGTGTACTGAGCTTTAAAAATCAGGACTCCTGGGGGCCAGAATGGTAGCAAAGCAGGCAGGGCACTTGTCCTGCATGTGGCTGTCCTAGATTTGATCCCGTCACCCCATATGGTCTTCTGAGTCCGCCAGAAGTAATCCCTGAGCAAGAGCCAGTAGTAAGCCCTGAGTGCCATTGGTTGTGGTTCCCAAAGCAAAAATAAAAATCAGGAGTATTTTTAAAATCAAACTTTGGATCTTGAAAGATCAAGCTGCAGTGCTCTCTTTCCCAGAATGGCTCACAATACAGCCCTAACACAACCTTGCTTTTGGCTTGTCAGGTAGCCTTTTCTTGACCTAACTTCCCGTGTTAAAAGCTTCCACTTCAGAAACAGCATTCCTGGTGTGCCCCAAAACCAAAACCTAGAATAAGAAACAAGCAAAAACACCCAAAACAAGAAACTAAAATACCAGTCTGTCTCTGGCTTGCTTTTGGCTGTTTGGCCCACACTCAGCATAGCGCAGGAGACCATGTAAGACAGGACCTCCTGCGTGTCAAGCATGCGTTCAACCCCCTGCTAAGCTCTCTTTAGCTTGTTTTGGGCAAAAAAGCTTCAGATCGGTGCTCCACGTGGTGTCAGGGCTCTAGAGTGCAAAGCATATGTTCTAGGCCTTTGAGGAACCTCCCTGGTCCCAACATCAGCACCTTTTTCAAATTATACTTTTTATACCTACACAGAATCATGCACCAGGCCCTCTTCCTCTAACTTGAAATTACTGCAAAAATCTACACAGTTAGAACGAATCCTGATTGTCTTAAACGTGGGAGAAATAACTCCTAACCAGTAGGATGAGAGGTGAATCCTGTGTCTCATTCTTTTCTGCCTCCTTCCCCTCTCCCCTCATTAACTTAAAAATATTACTTTATAAAAAGAAAAATAGGAAAACAAATGTAAGAAATAAGCAAAATCCAACTGCTTTCTTTTGAACATTTTAATGACAAGCTGGACAGTAAAATGTTCTAACACTTTTGATGTAATTTTCACATCTGTCATAATAACCATGCTATTGTCTATTTTTCCTCGATTTAGAGGCTAAGAAAACTAGAGACTTCAGGTAAGTAAGACAGTATGTGACAGATTGTGTCCAATCTGCTCACTCAACCATGTCCTACAGAAATTCCCTTCTCTGTTACTTAGTGAAAGGAGGTGACTACAAGGTCACAGGTGAGGAGACAAACCTACTACTCACCTCACTGGTGAACATAGCACAGAAGTAATCGCTACAGGCAGCTAGGACAATGCGGTGAGCAGGAAAGTCTTTCTGCTCCACTCTCAACGTCACATCACAGAGAGTATTGCTCTTCCGGAGGGAGTTCATCGAGTTGAGGATGGATTTAGCATGAGTATTTGTCATTATGTCCTTGGGGGCCATAATGCCTCCCATCAAGCAATAGGGAGAAAGAATGAAAGGATTGATTCTGATTCTGCAATTGTAAAAGGAAACACACACATACAAACAATGAGCACATTTCAAGAACGAGGGAAACTGAACATATTCAGTTAGTTTTACAAATTAAAGAGGCTTTGTCAAACCCAAACATTTTAAGTACACAGCAATTCTATTCTGGGCATTGTTGCCACAATCCAGCCTCTATCCCAACTGAAAATGAGCTCTTTGTTCTGAATTCTGATCTTGTGGGCCTGGCCACTTGACATTCAGTATAATCAAAACCTTACTGTATTCTAAGGAAAAAGAAAACACAGTTCACAGATATTCACAAGGTTGCTGTCTCACATGATAAAAAGATAAAATTTGGAGGCCAGACACAATAGAAGTGGCCTGGTCTCCAGGCAAGGCATGGAGTACTCTCCCCCCTCAAAAAAAATTCTAAATGATACGATACTACTACTATTTAACAGCCATAAATAGATCACACAGATAAGATTTTAAGAGGGTAATAATTCTATTAAAATTCTCACAGGAGTGCAAAACATGGTTACTAAGTGAATGTGAGAAAAGAAAAATTCAAATTAAAGCAAGGAAGGCAAAAGTTAGTGAAAGTAAACTCTTTTCTAAAGAACTATGCAGGGGCTGGAGCAATAGCACAGGGGGTAGGGCATTTGCCTTGCACGCGGCCGACCTGGGTTCAATTCCCAGCATACCATATGGTCCCCCGAGCACGGCAGGGAGTGATTCCTGAGTGCATGAACCAGGAGTAACACCTGTGCATTGCCGGGTGTGACCCAAAAAGCAAAAGAATTTTAAAAAATTAAAAAAATAAAGAACTATGTAAAGAATTACTTATGATCCTTCCAACTATACCTGCCATTCTTCTTAAAATGAAACCTCAAGGACCCAACGACAACCGAAACGCTAAAAGCTATCTACAAATTTTCACTTGATTAAATTATTAAAATTCTTCTATAGAAGGGTCTTCATACTCTCCATTATTAAATGCCCATCAACATGTAGAAAACATTATTTGTAGTAATTCTTCTATACTGAAATCGAGTATCTGGACAGAAACTTATCACAATGCCACTAATCTTACTGGCATAGTCTATGTGTGTATAACAATGAAATAAACTCAGAAATAGCTCAATTTTGTTGTTTTTTTTTGCTTTTTGGGTCACACCCGGCGATGCACAGGGGTTACTCCTGGCTCATGTACTAAGGAATTACTCCTGGTGGTGCTCCGGGAACGATATGGGATGCTGGGAATCGAACCTGGGTGGGCAGTGTGCAAGGCAAACGACCCACCGGTTGTGCTATCCTCCAGCCCCTCGCTCAATTACCAAAGAATCATTTTCCTGTGAAAATGAGCTCTTTTTCACTGCCAGTCTAGTCACAGTATTTCTCTTTTTCTTGCTTCAAAAACAATTTCTAGAGACTTGGGACCCCAAATTTTCAACTTGCGACCTTAAATTCTCATCGACTTCTGTTGATGAGCACGTATTCTCTGGGCACCCCAACAATCTCTTCCCCAACTCTACAAGCTCCCTTGTACGTCCAGGAAAAGTGACTGAGCAATGCTACTTTTTTCTTTTTGGTAACGGAACTGAGCGTCAAAACTCTGGAGACCTGCAAAAAGACGCGAACACATCTCTCTCTGCTGTGCAGGTTTCATGCGGGCTTAATCACAGGGCCATAACCCGCGTTTGGCCCTTCAAGAGTTTCAGCATCAAAACTGGCCAACGCTAAGGCAGTGGGGGGTGGGGGTCGGGGGCTTCCTGTTTCACTAGCTAAGGTCTCGGCCCCATGTGCTCGCCCTTCACCCCGTCCTCAAGGTGATCTCTTCCAGAGCACCCAAAAGGGGTGGGGGGCGCAGCCTTGAACCCCCGAAGGACTGCTGGCCGGCCGGGGCGGGGCAGACGTGCCATGCGGGAGAAGAGGATGGGAGAGGAGGAAGCCTCGGGCGCTGACAACACCAGCTGGCACCTCCTGGAGGGGGTCCAGCGGGGTCCGGTCCAGGGAGGCCCGAGATACCACGAGTCCCCCCACGCCCGGCCTCCCTCTTCCAACGCCGCGGGAGACCACGGCTGGGGGAAGGGCCGGAGCCCCGCGCCGAGGGGTGGGAGGGGAAGAGCCGCCCGCCCCCACCGCCGTGCGACTCACCTCCGCGCCGGGCCCGCCCGGCCGCGCCGGGCCCGGTCCCCGCCCGGTGGGGGGGTGGGGGGGGGGCGCGGGGCTCGCCCGCGGCTCACGGGAGCCGAAGCGCCGCCGCCCCGACCCCGAGGCTCCGGCGCTGTCCCCGTGGACCTCCCGGCCGCCGTCCCCTGCGACCGCGCGACGTGATGACGTCACCAACAAGACCCGCCCCGCGGTTCCGGCGTCACGTGAGGGACGGCCTCACGTGACCGCGGGCCGCGGGCGTCCGGCTTCTGAAGACACGGAAAGCGGAAAACCCGAAGGCGAGCGGCTGCGGCCAGGGGTCTCATCGCTTCTCCCGCGCAAAGGGCGGTGCAGAAGCCTACAAAGGGCGTCGCCCCGACGAGGCCGGTGATTTCCAAGCCGAGAAGCCGATTGCGGGAGTTTGTCTAAGCTGGCAGGTCGTCAGGACCCCTCTTTCTCGGGGGAAAACCAACAGACCCTTCACATTTCAGGCCCAGCCGCGCGGGGGTGCGAGGCCTCTGTGCCCGCGATCCACTCGCCGCGGTATCCTGTTCATCATAATGAGGCCTAGTAACTGCCCCGAGGGGTTCTCTCGGACACCCAGAGGCCCGCGGCCGCTCAGGTTTGGACCCCAGGACTGCTTAGAAATAGCCCGCAGTTCCACCTGACATTTACTTAAGCGGCAGGCGGGCGCTGAGCCTTCGTTCTTTCCTGTTGGCTTTGATCCACGAAAAAGCATCGGGTTCTTTGGCTACCTACAACTCAGGCGAATTCCGCACAAACTGCATTTTGCTATGCTCTTCTCCTCTGTGCGGCCTTCTTTAAAGTTGATAAAACCATAGCCCGGTGGGGGTTCGTTTCCTTGGACGCGCTCTCGAGGATTCTGTCCTCCACCAGGGCCAGCCGCTTTCCTTTGCAGAGCCCTTCTGGGGAGATGAGACTTGTCCACGGACTCGGGAGCTAGGATTTCTCCAAACCAAGCGCTTTGTGGAACCTTTCTTAGATTACCAGGCAATCTAGGACACTTCTCCCGCCCTTCCTTTCCTCTCATGGGGGTTCTGGAGTTTGTAGTGGTCGTATGGCACATACTTTTCACTACTTGAAAGTCATTTTCCAGCATATAAATCTTGCATATTTAATTCGAATACTGCTTTGACGACTAAACTAACAAAGTACATTCAATAATTTCTGTGTAAGTTACTCATTTATACTTTTTATGATTTGCCAGCTTACCAAAAGTTTTATTTTCACTTACACATTTTTACTTGGATGTTTCTCTCAGTACAATTAAATTACATTTCAGAGACACTGGATGTCAGTTTATTATGATAGAAGGACATGTAAGTTGCAGATTAATATGAAATCTGATCAAGATTTTAGAATTTTAGGCAGTAGGGCAATTGGGAACAATGGAGGACAGTGGCAAACTCCCCGTGGCGTACCCAATATGCCAAATACCAGTAACAATGATGGGTCTCATTTTCCTAAAGAGCCTTGAATATAATCTCAGGGCTAGGATGAAGGAGACGTTACTCGGGCCTGCTCGAGACAATCGACGAATAACAGGATGATTTGTGATTTTTGATTTGTGGAGGACAGTGGACATTGGAAGGGATTGGTGTTGAAACAATGTATACCTGAAACCCAGACTTGAGTAATTTTGTAATTCACAATCACTAAAAAAACAAAACAGTAAAATTTTTCAGAGCTTCAGTGGAATGCGAAGCTTTGGGCAGTGCCATTTCAATAGCGATTGATTTGCCTTCTGGTTTTTGGGCCATAACCCAGCTAGGCTCGAGGTTTCCTCCTGGCTATGCTCAGGGACCATATGTGGTGCTGGGGGTGAGGGGGGTTGAACCCACATCAGCTGTGAGTCAGCCACCTCTAAGGCAAGTGCCTTACCCACTATACTATCTCTGCAGCCCCTGCTTTTGTCTCCTGGCAGCCTGGTGACCCTTTGGCTGGTTTCAGCTGCTCTCCTTAGCTCCTGTCTGCCATGCCTCCAGCCGTTGCCCCATGGCCAAAAGATCTGAAGTGAGCCAGCCAGACATGAGCATGCAAAGCTCTATGGCTACTTTCTAGGCCAAGCAGCGCTCGGGATTCAGGGTCCACTTTATTGCCAGTGATGTGGTTGTTGCTCAGGCACAGCACTACTGGGCAATCCGGGAAGTACCTGGAGGTGCTTGGGGGTTGTTAGGTTGTGCTGATGACCTCACTCCGGACCTTACACATGCCAGGCATGTGTTCCTGGCCAGAGTTCTCTCCAGGCCCCGCCCCATTAAATATTTCTAATTGAAAATGGGGGTACCATAGCTGGGGATGTTGGTCTCACCCCCAATTATTTTCCAGTTTACTGACGGCAAACAGTCTGATGTTCAGCTTTTACTCTTGGCTTTTTAGCATCACAGCTCAGTGCCATCATTTCCTTGTTCTCCAATAGTGCTTTGTAGGGTCTCAGTTTTTAGAAAGTAAATGGATCAACCATTGTCATATACTGTTTAGGGGCTGGAGTGGTAGTGCAGCAGGTAGGGCGATTGCCTTGCACACAGCCAACCTGGGTTCAACCCCCAGCATCCCATATGGTCCCCCAAGCACCACCAGGAATAATTCCTGAGCATCGTTGGGTGTGACCAAAAAAGAAAAAAAATTAAAAGTGTCATACTGTTTAATGAAATGCTGGTTGTGATATATCTATGCATGTCCTACCAGTGTGAGTTCTACCAGCACCATCGGGTCTGTTTTGCTGGTTTATGACACTGGGTTTTAGTTTTCGTTTCCCTTGATTATCACTTGAAGTTCAAAAACCTTTACTGCTCATTGAATTATTAATCTTAGTCCACTTCAAATGTAGCTCGGTGCTTACTCCTGGTGGGCTTAAAATTAAAAGACCATTATCAGGGTGCCAGGGATTGAGCGCAGATTGGCTGTGTGCATGGCAAGCACCCTACCCACTGAACTATGGCTCTGGCCCCAGCTGGATTATTTAATGGGCTAGCTGTTCTTGCAGTTGTACAAACTTGTCCCTTAAAATGAACACAAATTTATATCACAAGATTCCTGCCTAATTACCACATTACCTCAGGAAAGCATGTACTAACCCTTATGAGACAAATTTAAGCAAGGCATTTTGGCAGAATTCTGAAATATGTAATACTCTTTGATATTCACCAGGGATATCCCTGCACCTTTGAGAATCATCTGATTATTGGGCACTATTACAATATATCAAGTTTTCTACATGTAGACAACATGTAGAATTAAGCTGTACTGAGGAGCAGATGCTAGGAATTCAATTAGGCTCATTTACTTTTTTTTTTTTTGCAGTAATTGTGCCAGTTTGTCAATGCCTACAATTCAAATTTGTATCTCAGTAAAAATAAAACTATTATTACTGTTTTTGGACCACGCCTGGGAGTGCTTACTGCTAACTCTTTGCACTTAGGGATGACTCCCGGTGGGGGTGGGAGAGGCTGGCGTAGCATATGGGGTACCAAGAATCAGACCTGGGTCAGTTGTATGCGTGACAGAAATCTTCCCTGCTGTACCCTCTCCAGTCTGGAAATGGAAATAATTTTCCTGGTCTTTCCTCTGGAGTTGTGTGAAATACTCGAGACCACACATTACAATTTTGAATGCCAAGTGTCTTCTGTATTTCTTTTATTGTCATCATAGTCTTTGCATCAAGATACATAGCAATGATAGCAGGTTTCTTTTAAAGCTTAGTATTAAATATTAAATATCTTTCCCCATTTTAATTTTACATTACTCTGCCAAGAAAAAAAAATTAAAAACTCAAGTTATTTGAAGCCTGGACACACTTCCATGATTAGCCGGGCTATGTAAAAGTTGGTGGCTTTGTTCATCCTGCTGTGAGAACAGATTGAGGCCCAGAAAGATGGGACCAGGTTATAATTGTTTTTGAAAAGTGTGCTACAAAAATGGATGGCCTGTTATAAGCCAGGTTACAAAGTAAGGGCGGGGGGTAAGGGAGGGACATTTCCTTCCAGAAATAACTTCTGAAGAGTCCCAGTCCATCATTTATTTCCACCAAATGGCTAGACGGGGGTAAAATCTCAACGTGAGTTTCAAAGTATTGTCTGTTGCCGAGGAAGGGGACCGCTGAGGCAGGAGATGGCTCAGTCTGGCCGTCCCCACCCTCCTCAGCTAGGACAAGAAATTTATTGCCCAGTGGGTGTGAAAGTGGGCCGAAGCTTGCTTGGTACTGAATTCTCTAGGAGGTTTCTTCTAGAAATGGACAACTCAGACTCTTCCTCTCACTTCAGCAAAGTTATTTTTAAAAGCACTTGGGAAGTTCTTCCTCCAGCCCTCAGGAAGGCTCAGAGAAGGGAGTCATCAGTACAGCCACCTTCCAAGCCATAACGGAATTCCTGAAGGTTGGAGACCCCATAGAAATGGACAAAGGCTGCTGCCACCACCAGGACATGGAAAATCTGATGAGACTGGAACTGCGGGAGGAACAAAAGAACATGGTAAGATAAAGGCAGGAGGGAGTAGAAACAAGTCCTACGGAGCACCTGGCTCTTCTCATTTCTCCTTCACCATCTAATAACAAAGTGACATGTTTGTTGTATAAGATTTCAAAGAAAGTTTCTTCAGATACACCAAAACATTACAGTTCCTATTCCTCTACCCCTACCCACTGTCGCTTCTTTGTCCTACACATTTCCCATCTCCTCCAGACCACAATTCCCTACCTCTCGGACTCTGATACGGACTTCAGGCATCAGAGGCCCTGCCGGGAAGTCAGTTCTTACCCAGATGTCAAATTTCCCAGGAAAGAAGCGCTCAGGAATCCGAGCAGCATAAAGGCCAGCTCCGGTGATGTACATGACAGCCATGAGGAAGAACCAGCCCATCTGGCCCACGGTTGTGGCCTTGACAAAGCCTTCGGCGATAGTAAAGTGCATGGTGGGCACCACACCGCTCAAACCGAGTCCCAGGAACACCCCTGAGTAAAGCAGAAGGGAGCCTGTCAGGGAGGGAATGGCCGCGACAAGGGAGACACTATCCTCTGAATACTGAGTCGCAGAGGCTCAGTTCTGGTGAACGGTACATGCTGAGGAAACAGGATGGAAACATTCAGCAAATACTCTTCACCACACAGAGAGGGAAGAGGGCTATATACAGAGCTATAACCTTTTAAGGGGTATCGAGAAAAAAAGAAGGAGTTTATTCCCTGACTAAAAACTAAGTTAAAAAAAAGTCCAAATTTGGGGCTGGAGCGATAGTATAGCGGGTAGGGTGTTTGCCTTGCACGCAGCCAACCTAGGTTCGATTCCCAGCATCCCATATGGTCCCCCGAGCACCACCAGGACTAATTCCTGAGTGCAAAAGCCAGGAGTAACCCCTGTGCATCGCCGGGCGTGACCCAAAAAGTGGGGGGGAAAAAAGTCCAAACTCTCTAAGGACTGTGTTGGATGTGGAACCTACAGTGGTTCACAGGAAGCCAATGGGCCAGGTTTCCCACTGAGTGCGCCCAAGGCGAAGCAGCCAGGACTCATCACCTCCTGAACAGACAAATCTGAACTGTTCCGGCTGTTGGGACACACACATAAGGTGACTGGGAGGAAAGTCAGGATGTGTCAGTCGCATCACACTGCACAGAGCCAAAGGGCAGGAACTACCTTCCCCAACCTCGCAAATTCCCTTGTTACAGCTCCCCGTCTGCAACAGGGCTGATGCTTGTTGCTTAGTTCTTTTTAACTGAAGGTTAAGACACAGCAGATATACGTCTAAATGGGAGAAAGAAGGCTACCAATAACTAGTGTATTGCTTCAAGTAATAATCCTTAAAACAGGAGTCTAGATGAGACATAAAAGGCATTTATGATTGTGGCTATGTTTTTAATCCACGGACTGCTTGGTTTGTGGATTAAATACATTCACTGAGATTAATTCCATTCCTTTAGTAATGTAACTCCAGGTGTTTTACTCTAACCATGTATGACCATTTTTTAGGAGGGAGGTATTGGGTCAAACCCAGCTGTGTTTAGGGCTCCCTCCTCGCAACGTTTAGGGAAGTGTTATGTGGTACAGGAGTCGAACACGGTTTGACCAGGTGCTAGTACAGCGCTTTACCCCTGTATCATTTCTCCGGCTCTTCTTTTTTAAAGCACTCTTAAACCAAATAGAAGAACAATCATTTTATTTATTTTGTTTTGTTACCACACCTGATGATGCTCAGGGATTACTTCTCACTTTGCACTCAAGAATTACTTCTTTAAGTATTTGGAGGACCATATGGGATGCTGGGGATTGAACCTGGGTTGGCTGCATGCCAGGCAAGTGCCCTCCCACTGTACTATCGCTTTGGCCCCACAGAGCAATCATTTTAAAACTTCCAGCAAATTGGCTAGTCTGGTGATGATCTAATTAGCGTTCTACCCAATGAATAAGAAGAACACCGAGAAATAACTGCAGTTTGAAAATGTTCATGGGTTTCAAAAGTTCTATACACAATTCTGGATTCAGGCTGGCTCTCTGACCTGCAAATCTGAGTGCCCAGGGCCGAGCCCATCCGGCTCAAGGCTCAAAGGTCTATGTTGTTTGACTCTCACTTTCCTACTTACCTGCTCTTGTTTGCCGGTGCTTAGGAGTGGCAAACCGGTCCCACTGTGCCACGATGATGGCAGAAATGCCCAGGACACAGACGATGGAGAGGTAGATGAGCCGTGGCTGTGGGGAGCAGTAGAAGGAATAATAGAGCCAAGGGACAAAGCTCCCCATAATCAGCAGGGCAATCCCTGAATAATCCAGTCTGAAATAAGAGCCACAAAAATGAAAATTAGTAAGGAAAACAAAGAACCCCTGGGGCTCAGTTACCTGGCTGGTTCTCGCGGCCACAGACTCACAGACTGGCCCGTTCCCAGTCTCTCCTCACCCCATTCGGTCCAGCCTGACTCTGGGATCTAAATCACCTAAGGTAAAGCACTTCTGGTTTGAATCCTGGTGAGAATCCCGTAACCTGAACTCTTCCATAGGGGACACTTCCCATTTAGAAAACGTCACATCCCTGATTTCCAGTACCACGCTCAGGACAGGCCCGGGTACCTCGCCAGTTGTGAAGGTTCGAGTTCTAAAAGTAAAGCCCTTAAATCTGAGTATTACTAAGTGGTACTGTTCCATTGTAACTGATTTCTCTTAGTGGTGCCAGGACTTGACCCCTGAGCCTCATGCGTGTCAGGCATGTACCTCACTGCTGAGCCACATCCCAGCCTCTCACAATTGACTTTATCGTGATAGAAATATATTCTTTCGTAGTTTTTTGGAGGTTTACATATAGTGATGCTCAAGGGTTACTCCTGGTAAGCTCAAGGGACCATATGGGATGCTGGAGATCAAATCCAAGTTGGCCATATATAAAACCAACGCTCTACCCTCTGTATTACCACTCTGGCCCTAACATTTCTTCTTGTTTTTTGTGGAAAACACAATAACCTACTATTACTAGCAAAACCAATAATAACCACAGAGCCAAACAAATAAATACAAATCCTTGGAGCTGAGGACTAGGGAGGCAGTGGCTGATGGGTATCGGGGGCCCCAGCAAGGCATGCGGGGCAGAGATAAGCTGCACTTGGCAGCTGGAGGAGCTGCAGCAGAGGCGGTGAGAACCACACCCACGAGGGCCTAGGCTGACAGGAAGGTAATCAGAATGTGTGCGTAGTGTTGACACAGCCTACTGACACCCAAGTTTCTGCTTCCGTATCGAGTACATACTTGATAGAAGGTTCCATCTGTTGAGGCTGCAGTGAATTTTTTCATGAAGGATTTCAGAGAAACGCTTTATCACCCCAATTATACCTACAAAATAGCAAGGCTTTCCTCTGACACCTGCGGGAGTGCTTAAGGGCCTGTGAAGTTCCTGGGGTTTGACTCACTTTCCCTTCTGCCATTCCTTCTACTTACTTGGAAAATGTCCGAGAGACTTTCTCCGAATGACAATAGACGGTGTGAAAGAGCCAGGAGAAACTGAGGCAGAGCACTGCACCCAGGAAGAACATCCCGAAAACCACCTTCTCTTGCAGGGGGGCCATGAAGTACATATTTGGTCTGAGCATGGTCAAGATTCCCAAGAAGAGAAATAGCACGAAACCTGCAGGGCAGGGGGCAAAACAAAAAAAGTTGGAGAAGAGGGGTAACGTGAGCATGTTCAGGGTGGCATTCAATGAGTCAATGACAGGGTTTAGCTGCAGGAGCAAGTTTCAATTCTGGGAGAAAAGTGGCAGCAGTTATGGAAACCAGTTTTGGAAATATTGGCATCGTTTCTGATGGGAACTTGATAGAGTTGCCTATATCAAGATTAGTTTCTGCCGGACTGGAGCAATAGTACAGCAGGTAGGGCATTTGCCTTGCACGCAGCCAACCCGGGTTCAATTCCCAGCAGCCCATATGGTCCCCTGAGCACCGCCAGGAATAATTCCTGAGTGCAAAACCAGGAGTAACCCCTGTGAATCGCTGGGTATGACCCAAAAAGCCAAAAATAAACAAGATTAGTTTTGCCAAGGATCACAGGAGAACAGAACAGTGAGTCCTTGTTTCCTTTGCCTGAGGTCTTCTTCCCCATGCTAAGCGATCACTGATCAAGAGTCAGCTGAGCTGATGGGAACTTTTTTCTTTTTTTTTAAATTTTTATTAGTGAAACACCATGAGGTACAGTTGTAGACTTACAAATTTTTGTGCTTGGGTTTCAGTTATACAACGATCGAGTACCCAACCCTCCACCAGTGCCCATTCTCCACCACCACTGACCGCTGATGGAAACTTTTTTTTTTTAAATGTAGGAGTACTACTATTTATTCAGCCAGTGATTAGCTGATTGAATTGGGCATGAACTCCACCTTACTTTTCTTTTCATGATTTTATTTATTTTTCTTCTTGTATTTATTTATTGAATCACTGTGGGAAAAGTTACAAAGCTTTCAGGATTAAGTCTCGGTCATACAATGATCAAACACCCTTCCCTTCACCAGTACTCATTTGTCACCACCAAGAACCCCAATATACCACCCCCCCCACCCTTCCCAATGCCTGTGACGCAGATGATTTCTACTTAACTCTTCTCTACATTGATTACATTCATTACCTTGACAAAGATGCACCATTATTGTTTAGAATTTCCCCCACAACAACCTGAATTGCTGAAAAGGCATTGTGAAATACTTTGTTTTCTATAGCTGGTTATGAGAATCATATAATGTCGCACGGCCGCCATAGTGGCAGCATGATGATGGGAGCTTTTAAGGCATACTGGGTACCAAGTAATTTGCAAATCCTGTTCAGCTTCCTTTTCATGGACAAAGGCCGCATACGATCCCTTGGCATTTCAAAAACTCAAACGTGTCCCTCTCCCATCCGAATCGCTCACCAAGCAGATGGGTCCAGATGTTGCCAGTTTCTGTGTGGATGCGGAAGATGCTCTTGAAGCAAGCCCGGAAGGAGGGCATGGGTGGTCTGTGGCCATGGAGCAGGTAGTCGTTGTCCTTCAGCCAGTCTGGGAGCACGTCGTAAGGGATGACTCTCCAGCGTCCCTCCCAGACCTGGAATGCAGATACCCGAAGGGCCTCAGAGAACAGTTTCCCCAAGGACATGGGCAGTCTAGGAGGATATCCAAGAGGCTTCAGCTGGCCCCAAGTGACAGTAGGTGACCAGTCTGGATGGAGGAAGATCCAAGACACAGCACCAACTAGCCTATGCAGTCTGTGGCCACTTTTTTTGTTGAAAAGCCTTCGTTTTTGTGTTTACCTGGCTATGCTGTAAGTACTCACGGATGTGTCAATCTTTAAGTTAGTTGGAATTTCAAAATTACCATGAATGAAAATCAAGAAACAAAATTATATGCCTGTTTTTTGGTTTTGGGGCCATACCAGGTTGTACTCAGGACTTACTCCTAGTTCTCCACTCAGGGTAACTTGTGGCAGGGCTTGCAGTTCTGTATGTGGTATCAGGGATTAAACCCAGCCTGGCTATGTGCAATACAAACACCACCCCTCTCCCTCTGCAACACACACCCAACCCCTGCCTGCCACTATTGCTCTTCCAGGAGATTCTGGTTACCCCTGCTCTATCTTTTCTCCTCATTAGAAACCCCAGAGCAGGAGCTTTCAACATAAGCTATATCAGCAACAGACAGAATTCAAAGAGAGGATAAAAAAATTTGGATGGAAGAAAATTATCATGAATTTTCTTATGATTTCTGCCATTCTGTCCCAACAGAAATCCTAATCATTTCCTTCCTTTCTTCATTTACTTCTAATTTTTTTTTTGGGTGAGGGCACACCCAGCAGTGCTCAAAACTTACTCCTGCTTTGCTCTCAGGGATCACACCCTGTGGGCTCAAGACGAGATGGGATGCTGGGATCAAACCCAGTAGGCTAGATGCAAGGCAGACGCTGTACCTGCTGTATTATTGCTCTGGTCCTTCCTCTAAAATTTAACACTTTCTTCCATTTTAAATGTAGGCAACAGACTACAGTAGCAGTAGAGCTTGTGATTCTGTCCCAACAGAAATCTTAGTCATTTCCTTCCTTTCTCCTTGCCTTCCTCTCATTTTCCCTCCTTCCCTTCCTCTGCTTTTGGGCTCCATCTAGCTGTGCTAAGGGCTTACTCCTGACTCTGTACTCAGGGATGGGCTCGAGGGACCATACGGGGTGTCAGGGATCAAACAGGTCTGCTGTGTACAAGGCAAGCGCCCTACCCAATGTACTTTAGTTCAAAATCAGAGACATTTTCATACATATTCCGTACATTTCAACTACTTCTACTCAGCACAACCAACTTAGAAATAATCTACTCAATTATAGCTTGTTATTAGTATGTTATGAAAGGAACTCATATTATTATATCACAAATATTTTTAATATAAAATACTGCTAATGCAAGTTATAGCTTCAGAAGTTAAGAATTCCTATTTTAGGGTCCAGTACGATATAGTACAGCAGGTAGGGTGTTTGCCTTGTCCATGGCCAGACCCAGTTGAGTACCCAGCACCCCATATGGTCAGTCCTCCAAGCCCACCAGGAGTGATCTCTGCGTAGAGAGCCAGGAGGAAGCCCCAAGTACCACTAGGTATGGCCCCAAAACAAAGAAACAAGAAAAAAAAATCCGATTTCGGGGCTGGAATGTTGCTCCATGGTGGAGCACATACTTTACATGTGTGCTGGCCTAGATTCAGTGCTGGCACTGACCAAAACAAGAATTTCTGTACAGACTCTACTTTGATTAACACCTGTCACAGGAGTCAGTATGTATTTGCCAGTGTCGACCTTGATTTCCTTTCCTCCAGCCTCACTGAACACGCCCAGGAGAGGGAAAGCACCTGTGTGCGGGAGTGGGCAGCAGCCGGTCACCCCACTGCCCTTTCCCTCCCCTGCAGAAGCAGCAAGGCCGCACCTTATACACAAACTCTTCCATCTTCTCCATGGCATGGTGGGCTTGCAGGGGAAGTGTCAGCACCCGCACCTCCTCCTCCTCTTCCTGGGGCACCGGGCATGCTTGCTCTTCTTCAGCCTTTAGGACACACAAAAAAACAAAATCTCAGACCTAAGAGTTGTCTCATACCCGATGTTTCGGAGCAGTCGCTCCAGGACACCCCAGACTCAACCAAGAGCAGCAGCCAGCCTGCCTCCGACCCCCTGCCTGTGTCTCCTCCACAGGTCTCACGGCTGAGGGTTTACTAATACTCTGTGAATGCTGGCGGGTAAGCTCGAGGCAGCCCAGGGGCCAAGGACTGAGCGAGCCTGGCAAGGGACAGACAGGATCAGCAAACCAGCACTACATGGGTTTTTAGCCTGAACCAGCCCATCCTTATTTTCAGAGCTGTCTGGAGCAATAGCAGAGCGATAGGGCGCTTGCCTTGCACGCAGCTGGCCCAGCTGAGCTGGGTTCGATTCCTCCGCCCCTCTCGGAGAGCCCGGGAAGGAAGCTACCGAGAGTATCTTGCCCGCACGGCAAAGCCTGGCAAGCTCCCCGTGACGTATTCAATATGCCAAAAAACAGTAACAAGTCTCACAATGGAGACGTTACTGGACCCGCTCGAACAAATTGATGAACAACGGGAGGATAGTGTGTTTGTTTGACTCACAAATTTCTGATTTCCTCAAGGGATCTCTCCTTCAAATGACTAGGCACACACACAATCCCACTTCCAAACTCTGAAAACTGATTGTGTCGCTGAACAATTTGTGTATTTATTTTTTTCCAGTAACTGATTTCATGTTCTTTGCTCCAGTCTGAAGACACACGGAAGTTCCCCTGATGGGCACTGTATCCACGGCAGCTGGCGGGAGTATCAGAGCCTTGGGACAGGCTGAGAAGATGGCAGCGGTGGCACTGGCCTGGGCTCCCAGGGGAGCCAAGAACAGCGTGCACAGACGAGCACTGGCCAACAGGGAGGGGCAGTTTCTGTCCCCAGGCTCCAAACCATGGAGATGGAGCCTGGTAGTTTATCCCCTCCTCTGGGACACACTCTCTCTCTCTCTCTCTTTCTCTCTCTCTCTCTCCTGCTGATAGGCCTTGGTAAACAGGTGAGACTTCACAGATTCTGCTGTTTTGTTTAGGGGCTCAGGCAGTAGTCCTGGGGGGGTCGGCCCTGAGAGTTCCGGTGGGAGCCCCTGCAGTGTCAGGGACTGCCCGGGGCTCCCACTGGCAGAGCTGCACCCCCCCCCCCCCCCCAGCCCACTGCAGCTCCCTGACCCTCCTGGAAGACTCTGACGGATTCCAGCTAACGGGATTTTTCTTTATTTTACGAAGCCAAACCTCATCCTTACTGCTTTTTCCTTCACCCAGGGACTCAGAACTGGCGCAAGTAAGCACTAGAGTTGTGAAAATGGACACACAAATGTTTACAGGGAGGAAAGATCGATGAAAGAAACTTACAATAATATGTCCATTAAAGACGGGTTTTGAGACATTCCTAGGGTGCAAGGGTTCCTTTGGGAGCTGAGATCTTTAAAAAAAAATGGGACAACTAGAGGGAGGGCCCAGAGGGCTGGAAAGCAGTGCTGTATGCAGGAGGCACGGCGGCGGTCCCTGGCACCATGCGGTTATTTGGGCACAGCCAGGTGTGGCCCTCCCTAAGATAAAGGGGAAGGAGAGACGCTGACCGAGGGAAGACCACGTACTCTGATGGGGCTGGCGGCTGTCCGTTTGCCCTTCTCTTCCAGCAGGGGTCCCAGCTCGGCCAGCTCCACGGTGTCGGTCTCCCTGTTACCGGCAGGAGCCCCATTGCCCTGTGCTGCCACCACAGAACCTTTGTGCGAAGACATCTGGCTTGCACCTGGAACCTTGCAGACGCAGCTTGCGGACAGGTTGGATGCTCTCAGCCCCAGGGGGCAGAGATCCCGCTGAGATGGTAGGCACTGAAAGCAAACACAAACAAAAGGGTACACTGATGATTGATTGCTCTGATCATTCCATCTCCACTGATCAATACCAAGGAACACACAGCCGTCAGTGCACAGTTTCTAAAGGGCAACTGATTTCAACCTAAAATGAAATCTCCGCCCTGAGCACCAAGGCAGGAGTGAGCCCTGAACACTGCCAGGTGTGGCCTCCACACAAATATCTAATTAAATAAAACAGAATCTACTCCCTTTCTTCCTCCTTAATATCACCCTTTACTCAGAACCTCAGTAGCCAGGCCTGAGTGATAGTACAGCAGGGAGGGCGTTTGCCTTGCATACAGCTGACCTGGGCTCTATCCCCAGCATTCCATATAGTTCCCAAGCACTGTCAGAAGTGCAGAGCCTGGAGCAACCCCTGAGCATCGCCGGGTATGACCCCAAAAAAAGAGGGGCGGGGGGAAAGAACCTCACTAACTTTACAGATTAGGCTCAAAATGTAAAACAGGATGTTTGCCTTCCCAAGCTCTGCAATTATTCTGCCAAACTGCCATCAACAAGTGACAGCCCCCCACTCTCAACGACCCCCTCAGAGCGCAGACCTCATCAGGGAGGGGAGTGAAGCCCAGTGGCCTACAGAAGGGGCAGGGAAAGCATGAAGCCAATACCAGGCTGTAATCCTAACAGGCCAGCCAGGGTGAGAGATGGGCTCACTGCCACCAGAACTCAAGGGGGCTGAGCATGCATAAAACAGTTTCTGGTTCAGGCTGTGAACTGGGAGGCCAGTGGCTCGTGCCTCAGCCTAGTCATTCAGTATTCAGAGACAGCTTGGGTTCAACACTTGGGCAACAACCTGCAGCATACGCTCCACAGAGCAAGGCAGCTTTCACTGCGCCTTCTGTAGGCCTCTGGCAGCCCCACCTTGCCCTCTGCTACAGACTGAACAACTGGCTCGGCAAGCGAGTGTGCCAACCACCGAAGCTCAGTGCTGAAGCGCCACTCAGAGGAGTTTTCCAGAAACTCAAGACTGACATACCGATCCTTGAGGAAAACCAGAGCAACCCCGAACTCAGTTTTCGAGGAAAAGTCTTGGACAAGTCGAGCTTTCACGACTTTAGGCCATGGTCTTTAATCAGGAAGGAGATGAAGAGATGAAAATGAGACTGAAAAGACTGGGAAGAACCCCAAAAGTTCTACCTTTGTAAAGACCAATTCTTCCCACTCCAAACAAAAGTCTTTATTAGTAGTAAAGTAAAGTAAAGTAAAGGCCCTCCCGTTGATCGTCGATTTGCTCGAGCGGGCCCAGTAACGTCTCCATTGGAGACTTTGTTGTTACTGTGTCTGGCATATCGAATACTCTCGGTAGCTTGCCGGGCTCTCCGAGAGGGGCGGAGGAATCGAACTCGGGTCGGCCATGTTGGCCGCTTGTAAGGCGAACGCCCTACTGCTGTGCTATCGTAGCAACAGTTTTAGATGAAACAAAAGGACTGGGTACCCACGCCCTGGAAATACTGGGGAAATGCAGAGGCCCAAGAAAGAGCTGGGGGGGGGGGGGGGCTGCTGGAGCCTGGAGCCATAGCACAGCAGGGAGGGCGTTTGCCTTGCACACAGCATCCCAGCATCCCATATGGTCCCCCAGCACCGCCAGGAGTAATTAATTCCTGGGTGCATGAGACAGGAGTAATCCCTGTGCATTGTTGAGAGCAACCCAAAAAGGAAGGAAGGAAGGAAGGAAGGAAGGGTGGGACCCTAAAGCTTCGAAAGAGTGGGACCCTGAGCTGCATTACAGAAGGACAGACAAGCAAGCCCAATCTTCTGCAACAGGCAATGAGCACGACTCTGCTCCTGAACAAGAGACTATCGTCTTGCTTTCCCCCACTGCTCTCTACTATATATGTGACACTGTGACACTGGTTCTAGCTAGTTATTTCTTTACCCAAGGGGATCACAATAGCTTCTCGGAACTCTGATAGCATCTATGTGGTCGGGAAAGGCGATCGTCAAGTTCCAGAACAGTCACACCCTGGACCATTCACAAGCACAGCTGAAAGCAAACGGCAAAACGAGAACACAGGACAACTCAGAGAGGCAGATCTTTAGGGGGAACTCGGGATGGGGAAGGAAGTGGTGAGTGTGAGTGTGGTGGAGCCAACATGACTCTACATGTGCCCAAACATGTAGAACGGCACACTAAAATAAGTGTTCGTTGCACTCCTCAATACTTAAATCAGGAAGTGAGATCGTATCCAACATAGAAAAACTAAATATTACTCACTGAAATCATAAATTACTTGGCTGGAGAATGATTGTTCCATAGGAAGGTTTGTATATTTTCTGCAATTTCATCCTAATCAAGTGAAAAAATGCCCTGACTACTATGAATTTGAATTTACACTGGGAATTTTTCATCATCGTGTTATTTATGCTTTAAGAATTTGATATATACAAACCTGCTAGATAGAAAAAAGATCTTTTATACACACACTAAAAATAAGCAGCTCTTTTGATGGGGTCAACACATAGCCAGTTCCTCTGCCTCCTGCTGACCAGACACATAATGCCAACTCACGCCCATAGCCAACCATGAAACCCCAGGGGAACAGGAAACCAAGGGCCCTAGGAAACCTCAGGAGATAAGAGTCAAAAACGTTGGGAAATCTTTTTCAATACACGACCACAACATTTCACTTCCTCTAAGTGTGGAGCTACCGAATAAACAGCTTAACTAAGAAATAATTCCTATCCAAGCAAAATAATGTAAACAGCACGAGGCAGCCTGGAGAACCCTACAGGAGGGGACACTTGGTTCTGGTGTCAGTGCTCACACATGATGCTGGTGCTGCAATTTGTATTCATTAAATCACACGGATCTGTGAGGCACCAGTGGCACATGCTGGCAGAATCAATGTTAAACACAGGCCATGGTGGGTGAGGAGTGTGTGTGTGTGTGTGTGTGTGTGTGTTTCTTCAATTTCTGTCAGTATCCTCAAGTCAAAATGAGTGAATAAAACAACTCCGGGAAGTAAGCACATAACTTTTTCTATTAATAGCTAAGTCTTTTAAAGAACTTTTTCTCAGGCCGATGGAGCTTTCGCCGTCCTTTTTCTTTCCCCTATCCTCACAGTTAACCAACACATTTGCAAAATATTTAACAAATGCTCTTGATACTAGTATTCTGAGGTAGTGCAGGATTCTGTCTGCAAAAAGGAAAACCGAGTAAGTCACTGTGTTCAAAGAGCCTGTAACAGAAGGCACAGGGTGACCCGGGATGTGCACGATGTGCTATGATTCCACTGTTCCAAAGAACGAATCTCCACAATGGTCGCACACTAAGCAGTTATTCTGAATAATGAGTAACTCTGTTACCAGAGGCAATGAGGATAATACAGACATGCCGAGTTTTGCAGTTAAGGTAGAAATTTGTTACAGAATCCAGCTTGGTATTACAAATTTCCATCTGAGCTAAAAAATTAGTTTTACTTTTTGGGGTCACTTGGCAATGCTCAGGGATCACGTTAGCACACATACAAGAGAAGCGCCTTAATCCCTGTGCTGGCTCTTCACTGGAGCTGAAAAATCAAGTCCATAAAAAATCAAGGAAGACCATAATTTCTGGGATATCAACAACATTCTCTTTTCAAGTCACCTTCTATTAATTCTTTGGATTCCCTCCAGTTCCTCTGTCACTAGTTCTTACACCTCCCTTCCCTGTCTTCTAGACTCCCAGTCACAGCCTAAAACTCCAATGAACTTATATAAGTTATGCCATAATGCATTAACTAGTGGCGGTCATTGGAGAGACCATCATCACAATCTGCGAAGTTCATTTCAGTGCAGTTTTCTAAATTAGTGTCTTCAACCACTGGCCCATGGGCCAGTATTTGTCCACAGGTGTAGAGAGGGAGGTTGAGAACACTGGTCTATGCTTAATTTAAACTGCCGGTGTGCAAGCACGTGTGAAAAGGTTGGAGCACACAGTTCCCAGCTGTAGCAGCACAGAAGATGGGGAAAGAGGGAGCAGAGGTGTGGCAGGAAAGCACTGTAGCACTGTCCTCCCGTTGTTCGTCAATTTGCTCGAGCGGGCCCAGTAACGTCTCCGTTGAAAGACTTGTTGTTAGTGTGTTTGGCATATTTAATACATCACAGGTAGCTTGCCAGGCTTTTTTGCCTTGCGGGCGAGATACTCTCAGTAGTTTCCTGGGCTCTCCGAGAGGGGCGGAGGAATCGAACCCAGGTCGGCCAGATTGGCCTCCTGCAAGGCAAACACCCTACCCGCTGTGCTATTGCTCCAGCCCATGGCAGGAAAGAAGAGAAGTGATTCTAGGAACTAAATACAACATGTCTGATAGGGTGGGTCATCACAACTGGGAATCAAAACAAGTGTTTTGTATTTACTCTGTAAATCCACCCCCAGCCTCTGTGTATTAAGACTGATCTGGGAGCATAAGTCAACTTTTTACATCTTTATGTACTTTAGAGAATACAAAATTCCCCTCAAGCTCACAGCACTCAATATAAAAAACTACAATTGAGCCAAACTCCAATAAGTGCATATAAATTAATTGGCGCCTACGCAGCGCCAGAGAGTAAACCTCCGGCCATGCACAGGCAAGCCACGTGCTCTACCACTTGACCCAACATCTCCAGCCCCCACTGAGTGCGTGTTTGATAGGATTTCTTCAGTTTGTTAGGAAGCTAACAAATCTTTACCACTAAGCTCTCTGACTGGATAAACTGTAGGCTCTTAGAGAACAAAACTGTGGAGGCATTTGTGCGCCTATAAAGAAGATAATCCTGGTCGCCGAACTTGGGGAAGGATCTTCATCTTCATTGCTAGCTGATGAAGACCTTATTTCCTGTAGGGGTTTCAAATATGTGTGTGTGGGGGACACACATACATTCCCTGAGCCAGCCCCCAGGTTTCCAGGCTAGACCACACCGCTTCCCGGGAGTCAAAGCTCCACGCAGGAGTCTTTTTTTTTTCTTGATTAACAAGGGTGCACGACACACTCTAGGTTCATGTGTATAGCATGATAAAGCAACATCCAATATATCACATTGTTATTTTTGCCACAGAAAATCTACTTTTCATTGCCCCAGTTTTTGGACCACACCCGGTGGTGCTCAGGGCTGACTCCTGGCTCTGTGCTGAGGGATTACTCCTGGCAGCTTCAGGGGACCATGTGTTGGGTGCTGGGAATCACCCTACCTGCTTTATAGTCACTCTGGCCCTCATCTATTTTTGAAGCAAACGCCCTCGACCCTTAAAGATGTGGTGTCTTTTTGGTCCACAGCTGACCAAGGTAACAGTGAAGACAAAAAAATTCCACTGCAACTAGTCTAAGTAGGTCTTCCCTTCGTTCAAGGCGGTTTCACAGCACTCCTGTGGGCAGGGAAAGAGGCAAGGCCAAGGCCCACCTGAAAACTACCAAAATGCAGTGAAGCGGCTTCAACTTTTCTGCTTGATGTCAAGTGTCATAGAGTTCGGAGTGGGAAATCATGAGGGAGCCTTGCAGCTCCCTTCCAGGGAAAGCCTTCCCAATTAAGCAGTACTTTTCGATTCTGAACCAAACAGGCACTTTTCAAATACCATGACCAAAAAGGGGGGGGGGGGGAGAGAGAGAGAGAGAGAGAGAGAGAGAGAGAGAGAGAGAGAGAGAGAGAGAGATACTATAGAGACACATAAAGAACTTTTTATACTAGGCTGTTTTTAATACCTGACTAATTACATAACAGATACATAGTCAATACAGCAACACAATCCAACTACACCTCAGAAGCTCCAAGGCAACAAAGGCAACCTAGCACGGACTTAAAAGCCAAATATTTGGTCATAGCTTGACTTGAGGGCAACTTTCAAGATCTTTTTGATCCAAGAAAGCTACTGACCATATATAAACATTAACCCCAACCACAACATTTTGGAGCAGGAAAAATTGAACAGTGAGAGAGGAAGAAAGTCCCTTGGGTGATACTAGGAGCAAATGGACATTGAGGACAGAATACAATGACTATGATGAGTACCAGCAGCAGAAAATCCCACCAGAATTAATCAAGTTTCTGGACTTCAAGATTGTTCACCACAGTGATTATAAGCAGACCAAGATCATGTAACAAAAGCCTTAGAGTCTGTCTATTATGAGAGTCAAAGAAAATTTCCTAGGGAAAGAGACAACAAACATACTGGTCTATAGCGAAGTACAAATCCTAAGCCTTACTCAGACAAGCTTTCCTATTCAATACTTACAGTGCGTATGCAAGACATTGGGGGCTTGGGAGAAGTTAAGACTTGGAAGCTCTGCTGGCCCCAATTTTAAATGGGGGAAATCATTTCTGTTGGCTAATCGAGTCATTAGCAAGCTAACTGCCACTAAGTCCTGGAGGAATTCAGAAGGAAAGCTCAATTTTCGGTTTTGTGGAGGATTTTAAGAAAGGCTCTTACGAGGCAGCCGGGAGCAGAGCAGTGCGGGCTGGCACCAGGACGGGAACTCTGTTCCCAGAGCAGTGAATCCTCCACCTTCTTCCAAGAGTATCTCAGAAAGATAAAGAGAGGCAACGTGGAGAAACTACGCATGGCCTTGCCAACGAGCTGCATTTCAGGCGTTCGCAATGGGCAGCTTGGTGGGTCCAAGTTGCTTCCAGATGCTTGCCTGCAATTCCTTCCTCCTTGCAGGCAAAATGGTCGATGATTTTGTTTTATCACCCCCTGGGAATCGTGAAATTTCTTGGCCACTGAGGACAGAATGCTTTCAGACGCCGCTCTGTAATCAGGGCTACTTTTACTGGTGGCCGGCTACCCTGAGATGGCCTTTCCGAGGTAACACTCCAGTTTTTAAGATCGATTCCCCTCGAGCGCCGCCCGGATTTGGGTACGCAGCAATTACTCCTGGACTAAAGCAGCCCAGGGGCTGCGAGCTGGGCAGTGCTCGCCTGACACTGCACTTCTGCTCAGGTCCGCCCAGTCTGAACTCCTAGTCCAGCACAGGTGCCATAAACGCCTTGGAACACGGTTGCACCATCACCCGTGACCCAGCCCTAGGAGAGGCCAGCGCAGCAAACACCCCCAATTACTTCACTCCGACAGGCACGACGGCCCACGCGGGGCAGCCTCGCCATCCCCTGCTGGTTCTCCCACCCAGTCTCTAATGCTGGCGGCGCGTACCAACTGTTAGTGTCGTAAAGTGCTCCGGAGTCCGCCTAATGCTCCTCGGATACTTGAAACTCGGTGAAGGGAAATAAGCCTTGCCAGTTCCCACCTGCCTAAGAAGCCCCAGCGACCCAGGGGCAGCCCGACTCCACTCTATCCTGAAAGCAGACAGCTTGCGCACCCCCCATCCCCCAAGTCAACACACGTCCGTGAGAGATTCCCGAAAGGAAATGTCGTTTTCCCCCCCAAAATAACTTTACATCTTTGCTCGCGTTTCAGATTTTGCAGCGCAGCCCACCAAGCGCGAAAACTGTCCAGCAACCTCCCCCAGCAAGGTGGGGCCCCCGGCCCGGCACGGACGCTCTCGCCGGAGGCGCCTGGAGCGCCGCCGGGATGCCTGGGCGCGGGCCCGGCGCCCCGAGCCCCGAGCCCACCCGAGCGCCGTCGCCCGGAGGCCGCCCGGAGGCGGCGGCAGTGGGCGGGGCCGGAAATGTTTACAAGCCCGAGCGCGGCCAAGCCGCGGGGCGCGGCGCCTCCGGGCCGCGGGGGTCGTGGGACCCCCCCCGCGAGCGCTGCTCGGGTGGCCTCCCCCACCCCCACCGGCTGTCCCCCGTCCTCCGCCTGGGCCCGGGGAGCCCGGGTGCGGCCGAGCTCCGGCTCGCTCCAGCGCCGCTGGTGCCGCGGGGGAAACTTACGGCCCGGCCGGAGGGTGGTGCTGGGGACCGCGGCCCCCCGCGCTACATCCCGCGGCGACCGACGCGGCCTGTGGCCGAGCGGCCCGGATCTTCAGGGCCCTCCCCGCGCCGGAAGGGGCGCGCGCGACCACACGGCGTCACCTCCGCGGTCGCGTCACCCCGTCTCGGCCCCCCGCCTAGCCCCACCTCCCCGCCCTGCTCCGTGGACCCAATCACAGGCCCCATCTCTGGCCCCGCCCCCGATAGGCCCGCCCCTCCCACCAGGCCCCGCCCCACTAAGACCCCGCCCTCCCGCCAGGCCCCGCCCCACAAGGACCCCGCCCCTCCATCCAGGCCCCGCCCGTCCGCTGAGGCCCCGCCCCGGGCTCCTCCCTGTCCTCCTGAAGGACCCGCCCCCTTGCCCTGCTCATCATAAACCCCACCCGTAAGGGCCTCAGGACGGCCACACCCTTAAGCAGCAAACCCCGGCGCGTGATGGAAAACAGACGGGAACTGGACCTAGCCCTGCGAAGGAATGATGAACTCCCTGCGGTCACCTGGTCCTCTAGGACCGGATTTCTCTACATCTTATCTATTACTTAGGCCATCCTTTTATCTTCAAAACACTTTGTTTTGTGGGGAGAGGGGAATGGGCACACAGGCAGTGCTCTGGGGTTTCTCCTGGCTCTGCACTCAGGATGACTCCTGGAAGTGCCTGTTGGACCATATGAGATGCCGAAATTGAACCCTGGTCAGCTGTGTGCAAGGCAAGCACCCTGCCCGCTGTCCTATCACTCAGCTTTTCCTCCAAAACACTTCTTTTTATTTATTTTTATTTTTTTATTGAATCACTGCGAGTTAAAGCTTTTATGATTTTCAGTCATACAATTGATCGAACACCCATCCCTCCATCAGTGATTTCCCACCATCAGTGTTCCTAGTATCCCTCCTGCCACGACCCCCCCCCCCCCCATACACACACACACACCTGGGCCTCTGTGGCAGGCACTTTCCTTCTTATTCTCTCTCTCTCTCTCTACTTTGGGGCATTATGGTTTGCAATATAGATACTTAGAGGCCATCATGTTTGGTCCTTTGTCTACGTCCAGCACACATCTCCCATCTCAAGCAACCCCTCAACCATCATTGACTTAGTGGTCCCCCTTTTCTCTCCCAACTGTCTTCTCCCCCAGCACGATAGGGCAGACTTCTAACCACGGACCAAACCTCCTGGCCCTAGTCTATTCTGTCCTTGGGTGTTAGTGTCATACGATGTTATTTCATATTCTACAAATGATGCATTCATTCTGTGTCTGTCCCTTCTTAAGCCTACTTCACCCATGCAGTTCCCTCCCTTTGCATAAGGGCCTATCACCTGCTAGAAGTTGGCTTACGACTCCCTTTTACTCCAGAGAATTTGGCTCCATTAATTTCTAGTCAGAGACATTGGGCTTATTTCTAATTAGTCCTTACTTGAGAACTCCCTGCTCCAGTTTTGCTCCCACATTTTGAACAGTGGGGGCACCTAGAGCACATGTCTAGGAGACTGTGAGATTGTTTGAGCCCCATCTGAACTACAGAACACAAAGTAGTTGGAAGGATGGAAAGTTTTCAGTTCTCTTAGGGGTGGCACATAACCAGTGCTATTCTAGATGCAGAGGAGGTTATTTATTATAATATATGGATGTTTCACAGGCTGATGGAATTCCTTCGGTTCTGGTTAAAACCAGGAGTTCTGGAGTTCCCTAGATACACTAGGATACTAGTTCCCTAATACCCATAGCAAGCTTCTGCCCTGGAGTGCATTCCTGAACTCCTCCAAAGGATAATGACCTCGTCTGGAGGATGTAAATAAAGTAGTGCTCTTTTGGCGGATTTGTGTCAGGTTTAGGACAGGTAATTTAGTCAGGTTTCTTTGTATGATTTCTGGCAAATGGTATGTGCTTCAGAGATGTTAACTATTAATCCCATGTTGCTGTGTTCTGAAATCCGTAGAAATTTCCACTGTTTACAGTAGACTTCCTATTCCTTAGAATGACCATACAAGGTTCTCTACCAGATGGTTCAAACCTATTTTCAGGGCTCAACATCTCGCACTTTACCTCTGACATTTTTTTTTGGCCACACGTGACATGTTTGGGGGTTACTCCTGGCTCTACATTCAGGAATTACTTCTGGCGAACTTCAGGGACCATATGGGATGCCAGGGATCAAACCCAGGTCAGCCACATGCAAGGCAAATGCCCTACCTGCTGTACTATCACTCCAGCCCCCAACCCCGACATCTTGGGTATCAATAAACTTCTGATAGCTCCCCAAATATTAGTGTCTCATTTCCCCAGTACATATGAGCCTATATATGACATATGAGCCTTCAGTTGGAGAGCCCTAACCTCCTTTCTCTGTTGAAAGATGCAAGAAACTTATCCTAGGTTCGATTTTGGACTGAGACAATTCTAGCTTTACATCTAGGCTCTGTCACTGATCATTGGCAAATTTTTTATTACCCTAAAGATTAAATTATATGGTGACTCCTTTGACCACAATATTTGGCACATGGCTATTAACATAGAACATTTTCTTCCTCTCTCAAATGCTTTCCATCCTCTTTCATCTCCATGTTTGGTTTCCCTGCTACAATATTAATCACATAGTGTTATATATTATTCTATACAATGACTAGAATTTGGGTCAATCTGGATCACAATCAGATCCTTAGGGTTTAGCGCAGTGTTTGGCATTTGCAGGCCCTTAGAACCTGTATGTTGAGTGGATGAGGCAGAAACACACTTTCAACAAGTGACAAAATTAAGGACATAGCAACAGTATACATATGGTTCCATCTGCAGCCCCACATATGGTCCCCTGAGTACTGCCAGAGTGATCCCTGAGCTCAGAGCCAGAAGTCAGCCCTCAGCACCGCTGGGAGTGCCAAAAACAACTTCCCCCATCTCCTCCCCTCCCATACAAAGGAAGGAGGAATGAAGAGTTTCCATGTGGAAAATTATCTTGGGCTGCTTTACTGTCTGAACCCAAAATTCTAAGCAAGATTTTCCTTTGTGGCTGGAGTACAGTGGCTAGGGCACTTGGCTTACACATGGCAGACCCAGGTTCAATTCCTAGCATGCCATATGGTCTTAGGATTAATTCCTGAGTGTAGAGCCAGAAACCCCACCCCCACCCTAGGACAGATCAGAGCTGCTCTGTCCCAGGTCCAGCTTCCGCCTTCCCAGGTAAAGCATGTTGGATTGGCTCACAAATGCTTCCATATTTGAGCAGCCATTTTACTGGGCTTTCTCAGAGTTTCCTTTGCTTCCTTGCCACGGAACCCACAAAATTCCTTTCAATAATTCTTTATTTTGGGTTTAGAGCCACACCTAGTGGTGCTCAGGGATCACTTCCATGGTGGTGGGAGGGCTGGGGGACCATATGCGGTACCAGGGATCACATCTGGGTAGGCCACATGCAAGACACACTGTACTATTGCTCAGCTCCATTTTTCCTTTTCGGAGGTACCATGGCTGAGACTGTGCCTTCCATTGTACAGGCCCTTATAAGGTATAAGCTGATGACAAAATGTTTGCTGGCACAGCAGTCAGGGGGCGGGGGCATGCTGTGCATGTGCTGAGAACCACATGGCCCTCTGAATACTGCCAGGTACCATCCTCCAGACCCCTGAGCATCCTGGGGTGGCTCTGGTGGTCCCTAGTACCACACAGCTTGAGCAGCTTCACATCTCTGGGACCCTGCAATGAACTGCCCAGCCACGCTCACTTAGGACTGTCATAAGTGGTCCCCCCTCACCCTAGCAGAAAAGAAATGTTTAATGGAACGACACAGAATTATTTTTCTTTGGCCACACCGGCAATGCACAAGGGTTACTCCTGGCTTTACACTGAGGAATCACTCCTGGCGGTGCTCAGGGGACCATTAGGGATGCCAGGTCACCTCTGTGCAAGGCAAATGCCCTACCCGCTGTACTAGCTCTCCGGCCCAGCACAGAATTTATTGAAGACTCTGCCCAATGGAGCGGTGAATTCTGAGGCCCCCAGGGAAAGCGCCACATTAATTTTATGCAGGAAAACAAAGCTGACCTTCTGCTGAGCCTGATGCCTTGTTTCCTCCCCAGCGGACTAACAATAAAGCTCTGAAGGAACCACTTTAGCCCTACCCCAGCAGAAGGGTCATGTTTGTCACAGCAGAAAAGGGCAGTCAGGACAGGGCTTGGAGAGGCTAGCTCCCTCCAGGCACCAGCAAGCCTGGCGCCACTGCTGATGTCAGGTTCCTTTTTAAAGGAGAAGCTTCTCTTCCAAAAAGAAAGATGGTGCTCTGCCTGGTCTGCCAGGTGCTCTGAAGGACAAATTTGAAGAAGGGCCAAGTGCGGGGAGGAGAAGCAGAGTGAACAAACCCAGGAACCTCTGTGGAAAGGGCCTGATCATTAAAAGTGTCCCTTGGGAGAGTGTGGGAGAGTGTTCTTCCTTCCTCCCCCGCCCCCCCCTACCCCCTTTACAGGCCTCCAGGGAGAATGACTGACAGCTCTGCTGAAACAGTGAGTGAAATGCTTCCCATGCTGGGTGGTAGGGAGCTCACATTTCAGCATACAGTACAACCAACGACCTTTGGGAGACCTGGGAGAAATTGGGCTGGGAAACCTTCCCAGACAGTCGGCATGAAAAGCCTTGGAAACGGGGACCCCAGACACAATAAATGCTGAAATCTAACATAGGAGCCCAGGCACCATTTATTTTCAGAGTCAGAGGTCTCTGCCACGAGGAGGCAGTGGGAAGCCACCTCCCTCCAGCCACAGATCCATAGCTCAGATTCTTTCCCCTGTGACTTGGAGGTCCCAAGAAGCCATCTCCTCCTTTCCAGAAATTTCTGAGGCTCCTTTCATGAGTCTGTTCAACCTGTGCTCACACATAAAGCATCTGCTGTGAGTTAAGCACCAGATATTGAGAAAAACATCCATGACACAGAGTGTTCCTTCACTCACAAAAACAGCGGTGATGCTATGAAGAAACCAGCCAGTTTGGGAACAAAGAAATGCTTCCATTTCTTTGACCCGTGAGAGAGGTTATTCCATGGCTCTAACCTGGCAGACAGATGCTCTACATCCCAAACTCACTAAAATTTTTACCTTGTGGCTGAACTTAATATGCACATATGTTCAGAAAGTTGAA